AGATTCATAGCCCCTGATGCTCTAAGCCCCCATATGGCCATATTCACACTGGCCAGGCTCAGTGAACAACAATGTGACTACAATGTACCCACACAATGCGTAGATAATATACAGGAAACTCATTCACAATTTGACATCACTATCAGCTGTTTAGTCGTTACAAACGAAACGCAAACGTCTATGAGAGCGCGTGTTGCAACGCGGCCAGTCGCGAGGAGTTACGACAGAAAATGAAAAGTCGCACGCAAGGACTAAACGTGTTTACAAACTCGCGATTAGTGGATCCATTCTGTCTATCACAACGGACGTATTTTAGTGTAAAAATTTAAAAACGGAGAATTAAAAAAAATTAAACAAATTTGAATTTAGTGTGTTTGTGTGTGTATGTGGAAGTTTCAAATATTTTTTTATAGTGTTTATGTGATGTGCAAAGATTAATTATGGTGTTCTTTGTGGCATGCGTATGCGTCATTTTAACCGCTCAACTGGGAGACAAACAATATCGCGTGAGTTGATGCCTTTATGATTTACAATAATTATTTGTACTCTCCATTTGTGAATGTTTCAAGAGAAACGGTATCGATTGGTTTAATTATTTGTTGTTACTTTATCTTTCTTTAAAGGAAATTTTGGTCATGTCTGATCCTACTTCCTGAAGATAGTGGCCAAAATTGAGAATTAGGTCGAAATATATCGAACATTTTCGTAAACATGATAAGCATAACAATGAAATTGTTGTAATTAAATAAATTAATATTAAAATTGAAAGTCTATTGCTATCTTAATTACAATTTAAATTGTCTTTGTTTATAAAATGCTTGCTTGCGTTTTGTAATGTAAATGCTATTTACAATTACGTTAGCGATCTTGTTTATAAGTTGCGCGTGCGCATATCCAGAAATCTTGTCGATGCAGTTACTTGATACATAGTATTGTGTTCAAGATATAAGATATATACGATTTGTTTGTGTTATAACTATTTTTTTGATTAACCTCTAAAATTGTGAATTTTATTATTGTAGAGCAGCTTCCGAACTGAACAGGCGTTTTGTAGAAATTGTATCCCAGGCCCGCAACTTCATCCGCGTAGAATAATGTTTTATCTCATGGGAGCATTTATTCGGGATAAAAAGTATCCTATCACCTAAGTCAGCCCATACCCTGCCTGAACACCAAATTTCAGTAGTTTCCAAAATCCGTTCAGTAGTTTCAGCATGATTGACCGACAAACATACAAACAAAGAAACTTTGACATTTATAATATTAGTGTGATTTTTGAGATAAACTCCTAAACTAGTAAAAATGGGAGAAAACGCCCGCGGCATTAAGTCCACCTTGTGTACACTTTGTGCATGAAGCGTTAATAAATAAATAAATAAATAAAGTTAAAAATCGATCCATATCAGTAATAAGCACTATGCTTTATTGTAATTCGTGATATCTACCGTAATAACGGTTCAATGTCATTACCTAATTAAATATGTATTGCAAAAATAGTAACAATTCCCTCAAGGTCGCATAGTTTGACAAGTTTTATCGCGGTTTTGATAAATGGTATGTAAAGAGGCTGCGTGAGGTCGTACGATGATATTGTATAGATAATTTTATAATAAAACATTTGTAGGGATTCCTCAAGCGTTTTAATTCAACCTTTTACAAGGTTTTGCATACATTCATTTCTTATTAGCAAATTAATTGGAATATACTACGTGACCCATTTGCCAAAAATACGTTTGCTCACGAAGTCACGAATATGCGTCCCTGTTTTTATAATGTTTTGATGCCGCGACTACGCACGTTGCTCATGAGGAAGAGCCCCTCTGTGGCTCGAAATTAGTAGAGCTTTCCTCAGTATTATCACGTGATTAGAGCTCGTACACAAAACTGAGATGCGACGTTGCATTGCAAACATGTGCGACCTACTTCTACGCATCACAAGAACTTGTCAATTCATTCGCATGTTCGCAATTGAAAATACGTTCAGTACGGTAGACGGTCGTCGAAGGAATGGTCACCCTGGGAGACGCCCTTTTCGCACGAAATCGCATCCCAGCAATTTATGTCGTAATTTTCTGCGTTACGAATTCGCATCGCATCGCATCGCAGCTTTGTGTACGAACCCTTAACCCGTGATTTTTAGTTAATTTAAACTGTCAAACACCGCGAGGACACCGGTGACCGCAACCTATTGTTCTTTAATTGTGTCTATAATGACGGTACTCAAAGGATTAATATGCGTCCCGGTGTAACCTGGAACTAGTAGAGCTTGTCTCGAATATGAGCTTAAGTGAGTAAGCCGTGTATTACGATTAATATCAATAGTTCCTTGAAATTATATTAGTAACACAATGGCGAAAAGTTATATTGATTTTAATAAGTACCTAAACCTCTGCCTTTGATGCTCTGAAGAATATAAAACTGCTTTGTTATTGTTTATTAGTGTATAATAAATAATAATATTACTTAAAGGTATCCTTAAGTCTTCTGACATCGAATCTAGCCTTGACGAAAGGTTTCGTATAAAATAGTAGCAAAAACTGGTCTGGTTCGCGCATTGGAGGTCTTTGTACTAGGACAATGCCAATCAACAAGGACAGACTGTTAATAATTTTTAGTGCATTTTCTATGCGAAATGTCTTCGTTTACTTACTGATCCCTCGATTAATAATATTTGAAGAAACGACAATAATACTTTGTCTGATTGAAGAATCGAACTCGTCATTTTTATGGTAATGAAAAAAAAAATAAACAACGTCGATAGCATTATTCAAATATGGTTTAGAATATAGGACGTAATAGAAAGAATATACAAACACATGTTTGTGTTGAGTGCAAAAACCATGTTGACTTCGGACTTCATGCATTATTTATTATTTTCGCGCATACGCAAAGCATGTCTTTGTCACAGTATAAATATATATTATACTATGTCTTTGTGTTGTCAACCATGACGATTTGATATTCGGCTTTTTTCTTTATAACAGTTTTAATACTGTAGCGTTATATTTTGTCTAGTACTGATAATAATCAGCGCTGCGACTCGAGCTATTGTGCTCAGGTCACGGCATTTTAGCTGAGGTCTGCGCTCCTTTTTGCTCCGTTTTCACTGTTTTTGTTTATTTTTTCGTGTTTTTGTTTTTTGTAAGCGTGCAAATAAACTGTTTTTTTTTCTTATCAACATTTTGGACGGCTAGGTAGATATTTATTTCTAGTGCGTAAACTTACGGTCAGTTTATTGCGTTAAATTCCTTCTTAAATGGCCGGCAACACACTTGTGACTTCTCTGGTGTTGCCTGTCCCGATGTCCTGATAATCAGTATGCTCGCTTAAACCCTTTTCCATTAAAAATAAAATATTGTATGACATATTCAGAACTTCCCATTAATACAGAAATAATGGTCGGATACGTGAATATACATTAAAAGCTAGTTTGGTCGGCACTGTGACACACTTGCAAACAAGTTACCGTTAACATGGCGAATCGTTACTATTGCTAATCTAAACGTAACATAATAAATAATCCGTCAGTTTGATTCATTGCAATTTCGTACTAATGGCTAGGGATACATACATACATACATAACTTCACGCCTGTCTCCCATGGGGGTAGGCAGAGACTAAGGAACGCCAATTACTACGATTCTTACATACCTCTTTCGCTTCATTAAACTGTCAAACACCAAGCGGTCACCGGTGACCGCGACCTATTGTTATTTAATTGTGTCTATAAAACCGGTATTCGACGAGTTAACAGTCATCAATCTTTTCATGCATGCTCGTCGGTTAAGGGTACTTTTAATTTGGCCCTTCTTTAATATATCGCCAATCTGGTCACTCGATTTTGAATCCCGAAGCGGCTTGAAACTAGTCGAGGTTTTTCGAAGAATTTATGTGAGTAAACCGCACCGCAGTTAATTAGTGTTATTACATTTTTCTGTTAAATTCAATGAATTTATGATGACAATTTTGGGTTAGTAGGTCTAAGGTAGGTTAGTAGGTGACATCTTGATATCCCTGGATTCGGGAAATCGTTAGGCAAAGAATGAAATCACACTTTTACCGACTTAAATCACACTGACAATACAAAATGATTTTCGCCCCTCAAAAAAATCCTTCTGTAGTATACAATATACATATACTTATTTTTCCTATTTACTTCGATTTTTAGATGGGAAATGCTCATGCATTTTGCAACTAAATCAATATTGTCATTAATAATTTAATGACCTTAATACAAAACTACTTTCGCCTTGAAAAATTCTGTAGTATACATATTCTTATTTTTGAATTTACTTCGATTTTGGACGGGAAATGCTCATGCATTTTGCAACTAAATCAATATTGTCATTAATATTTTAATGGTTAATGCACGACATGTTCACACGTTGTGCTAAAGGACACCGGCTGTGTTTATTTGGCAAATTAACAGACGGTGCGAAGGTTTTATGTGTTTGTTATATAAATATTTGATTTGTATACTTGTGGCGATTAGTAACAATACTATTGAATACTGATGAATGCAAGTGTGGTTATATGAGGCTAGGTACTATGAGATAAGAACTAACTAGAGTTACTTAAGTTAAAGACTACCTTTTTGGTCAATCGCGAGCTAGATGAGGTCGGCAATTCCTATGTGACTACTCTGAAAATAAACACCGAAATAAACTTAGGTTAAAGTCTTTTTAACCTCTTTTAAAGTCTAGACAAAGTAAAATAAAGTGGGAGAACCGTGCAAATATTTTTCTTTAGCGGTCTTTTGAAGAAAAGTTCATTCATTTAATTATAAGTTGAGTGCTATCGTATTTATTAGGTTTCGTAACGTTGCCCACATATTTTTTTAATTGCGTTTTCATAACAAACGTGACAATGAACTAGTTATAATAGTCTAAAAGTAAATGAAACCTAGATTGCTCATTGAAGACCATTTTATTGTGTAAAATGTATGTTTTTTAAATTTGAACTTGATAAGTGATATTATTAAGTGCTATTTTTGTTTGCAGTTGATGTGGTCTATCTGCGGTTGTCTTCTCGTTTCCTTAGTGGTAGTATTTTTCTACTACTACAGAAGATGGAGGTCGAAAGGTAAGATTCGCTAATATGAGATATCGATTCGAATTCATCACTAAGTTCCAGCTGGAAAGACGATATTTTAACAGTATTTTCTGATAGATAATTGACAATTACATTATATTTTTTTTCACCCCCTATTACTTATGCATAACATAAACAGTGAAAAGTGGGTGTTACATTGTACAGTGGCATTAAGTGCCGTAATGTGCACCTCTGCCTACCCCTTCGGGGATAAAAGGCGTGATGTTATGTTTTTTTTTTATCGGGCCGACGGTTGTCCTCTATCTCGCTTGGTGGTAAGTGATGACGCAGTCTACGATGGAGCACGTCTGCCTATAAGCAACGTATTCACTCGGGCCTTGAAGACACCCAGGCAGGTTATACTCTTCCGGAAATACAGGCTCTGGCAAAGAATTCCACTCCTTAGTAGTACGCACACACATTTCGAGTATCTCCACCTCTAAACAAATGCTCCCCCTAGTCGCCATTGACAACGCGCCATTTCACTCCCCACGACTCTAACGATCAGTGTCATCATCAGTGAAATTGTTTACGAATACAAATGTGATGGTTTTTATTTACAGCATGCATATTCCAAACCCACTTGCACTTGATTGATTCAAATCTCCCAAATGCTCCAAAATATCGAAGATCAAGAACAAGTAGTTCTTTTTACTTTCCAGAATTAACCGGTGTCACAGGCGGTGTTGGGGCAACAGGGGATGCCGTAAAAAGGTTCCGAAAACGTGATAAGATGCTGTTCTACGGACGCAGGATGCTGAGGAAAGTCAAGTCTATCTCCAACTCTGGCCAGGGAAGGAAGAGACGAGCCGTCATGCGGTTTGCTAGGAAACTGCTGCAGCTGAAGAAGGAAACTGCTCCTGAACAGCTGAAGGTGGGTAACAGTTATTGGGCCATTTTTCTTTAAGATTGTTCAAAATTGTAGCTTCAATCAAGCTTCAGAAGAGAGACTTCTTGTCGGGTGCCACTTGCGATGCGAATAGTGCTTACAAATTTACGTAGACTGCCTCATTGGCCGAGTGTTAGCAAGTGCGACTGCCGGGCAAAGTATTATTGGGTTTGTAAAAACCTCAGTAGTAGCACGGAGTCTGGGAATGTGCTCGGTATATGACAATAGACTCACCCCCTATTACATGGAACTCATAACATAAATTGTGAAAAGTGGGTGTTACACTGTACAGTGGCATTAATTGCTGTAATGTGCACCTCTGCCTTACCCTTCGGGGATAAAATGCTTGATGTTATTTTGTGTAAATTTACGTCTAGTGTGTCATAAAAATTTCTAAACTAAAAAAAATTACAATATTTTTTGTTTTTACTTTGTACATCGAAAGCACATAAGGCAAGTTGTTTTGCCGCGTAACGAAATAGATTTCACGGTGTATCTTTACCTTTTTCTCATCTTTTCGTGAAGGTTCTGGAGCCCCCAGCAGAGTACTTGGAGGAGGACCTGACTAGTGATGACAGGGTCCCACCAGATGCCCTGTATATGCTGCACAGCATCAGGGTGTTTGGTCACTTCGAGAAGCCCGTGTTCCTCATGCTTTGCAAGCATACTGAGATCCTCAATCTGCCTGCTGGTGCTTTCTTGTTTAAAGTTGGTAAGTTATGTTGGTAAGTTATAAGGATTGTCTATGGCAACAAAATGTAAACATTAAATGCGTATATTTAAAGTTTTAATTTTACATATTCATGTGCAAGTGAACTCATTTTGTGTTTCATCGCTGTGTAACAACTCAATAAACCTCATAAAACGTTTGCAAAACTGTGCGTCAAACAATTGTGATAATATACAAATAATATGAAAATATGTTTATTGTAAAAACAAAACATTGAAAAAATGACTTTTTCGACCTATACCGTAGTGTCAACATGAATATAGTTAAAAATAAATAAATCAAAAAGTGATTGTAGAAAAAGTGACTCTTGTAAAACAGTAAAACTTGTTTATTGCGATTATAAATAACCGTTACAGTTTGATTAATTTTCAAATGACCTTTGGACCCTCAACAATAGCAAAGACAATGATAATTGAATGAACTTATAAATAAAATCTCTCCTTTACACGAAACGAAAACAAACAACTGTCAAACATATGTATTGCCAACCTATGATCGGTGTTACAAGTACAAAAAAACAAACCCAAAATAAGGGTAATTGACAAAATTTCATAAAATTATTAATTCATCACAATTAACGTATCGACTATTGGTGCTCCGAATCTGCAGGCATTTGAAGGTAATTCTCGCCATGGATCTTGACCGAACATCACGTATCGAAGGCCACGACGTGCCAGCTCCCTTATTGACGTTTCAAGAGCTGAATCGCCTGTTTTTGACACTACTATGATGAGCCTCCCGAACACATCAATTAATGAAAACCAGGCAATAATTGAACTCAATGAAAAAATAACTATTCTCACAAACCAATTGGCCAGTGCACACCAAGAAATTGACAATCTAAATTCCGAGAACTTCCGCTTAAAGACTGATCTGAGCAAAAGTATGAAAGTTGCCGAGACATATAAAAATATTTATTTATCAGGTAGTATACGTACAACACCCAGCCGATTAAAAAAACATAACGGCAATTCGTCTACACCAACTAAAAGGACCACCCAGCAAATTCCCAATGATGAACGTATAACAGACGATGGTCAATCGACAAAAACCTCGACGCTGCTATGTAATACCTCGCGTTGCGACATGGTACACGAAATGGATCGAAAAATGGAAAAAATGGATTCAGACGGTATAGAAATCAATACAAAAGGTAATGTAGAAAGTATAACAGTTCAAACGGAGAGTTTACTAGTTGTAAATAGCAACAAGAAAATTGAGGCGGAGAATACTCATGATGTAGAAACTTCACAGAAACACTCACTTGGTATCGGTATTAGTGGTGAGGCGAAACATCAAGTAATAGTTATTGCTGATGATCAGGGACGCCACACTCAGAAATTATTACAACGCTTGATTGGAGAACAATTCCAAGTTAGTTGCTTTTGGAAATCTGGAGCGACATTACAAGACGTGCTACTGTGTGAGCGAAATAAAATAAATTCTCTAACTAGAAATGATTATGTGGTTATATTAGGTGGTACGAACGACAAGTCTCCATATATTTTTAAGACATCTGTTAGTAATTTTTTATATTGTTCTAGGAACACTAACATTCTGTTTTGTGAAATACCGTACAATAATCATCTTAGGGAATCAAAATTGAATTACGAGCTAAAATTCTTGTGTTCGAAATTTTTGAATGTTAGATATATTGATATGGGTTTTTCTGTAAGGGTACCTACTCGAAAAATTTTGGTTCAACATACTTGTCGATTATTGTTAAAAGAAATATTACAGTTAGATTATAAATTTAAATTTGATGATTTCCAAAATAATAAGAAAAAGATAAATGAACTAAATCAGTGGATAAGGGTATTCAGACTGACGGATTATATGAAACGGATGTACTAATTGATGCAAAAGCAACTAGAACTGCTCAAAATATACCAAATAGTTTTTTTCGTGTATAAATGTATAAATATTCTTCATCAAAACATTAATGGGGCTATGAATAAATCTGAACTTTTGTATGTAAATTTGGAACAGTTAATAGAACAGGGCAGTCCAGCTGACGTAGTATGCCTGACCGAGCATAACATGTTAGGAGAGGATATTAAATTGTTATATGTACCAAATTACTCTCATGCAACATCTTTCAATCGAAGTAAGCGCCACGGCGGTTCTTGTATATTGGTTTACAATAAACACCAGTATAAGTCTATTAAGGCAGTGAAAAAACATGCAATTGATGGTGTAATTGAATGCTGTGCCATTGAGCTCGTAATTCATGGCCTTATTATAATTTGTGTTTATAGGCCACCTAGAAATAGTGTACAACAATTTGAACAATTTTTCACTCAACTTGATTCTGTACTAAAAGAGTTATGTTTCTCTAAAAAGAAAGTAGTTATATGTGGGGATTTTAATATAAATACAATGAGAAAATCTAAAGAGTCAAACCAATTATTGAATATTGCGTGTTGCTATAACCTCAAAGTGGCGATTAATGAGCCAACCCGTTTAAGTAGTGGCACTTGTATCGACAACTTTATGTACGATGTTAGAGGATGCAAGTGTAATATCTATGAATTTGCTCTCTCCGATCATTCAGCTCAAATTTTATCCTGTCCAGTTAAAGAAACATGTTCTCTTACTCATTGGTACATTAAGAAAAGAGATTATAGCAAGGAAAATATAATTAAATTCAAAAGATGCTTGGAATCCCTTAGTTTTAACGATGTATATATACGGTGATCCTAATGCTGCCTTCGACAGTTTTCATGACATATTTACATTATTTTATTACCTGTGTTTTCCATTTACATTAATTAAAAAAACCAGTCGTATGAAACCATCATGGTTATCAAACGGTATACGGGCATGCTCAAAACGGAAAAGAGATTTATTATGGCGGTTTAGAAAACAACCAAATCCACATAATAAAAACCAATTTAAATCATATTCTTCACGTTTATCCAAAATTATTAAACTTACTCAAAAATCGCAAAATGATTTTAAGATTAAAATGGCAACAAATAAATCAAAAGCGACTTGGTCCGTTATTAAACATAATAAGCAAAATATACCGAGAGTACAAATTAAGCAAATACGAGTTGATGGTAATATAGATGACCCGTTTCAGATTGCTGAAACGTTTAATAAATTTTTCATAACCGGTAACAAATCCAACGCAAATGACAATCCCAAATATAAATTATCGTTATGTAACAACAATTATTATCACTCTTTATTTATAAACCCGACTTCTCCGTTTGACATTGTACAAATAATAAATTCTTTAAATAATACAAACAGCACTGGTTACGATGATGTGAGTACTAAAATATTAAAAATTGTATCTGTAATTATTTCACCCGTTTTGAGTTATATTATCAATTTGTGTATAGTTTCTGGAGTATTTCCAAACAAGTTAAAATTTTCTATAATTAAACCTCTATAAAAAAGAATGATAGAGAACTCATAAATAATTATAGACCTATAGCACTCATACCTATTTTTTCTAAAGTACTTGAAAAAGTTATCGGTAAAAGTCTTTATAATTTTTTCGAATTAAATAATATATTTACTAACAAGCAGGCAGGTTTCAGAAAGAATAAAAGTATAAATTTGGCTGTGTATAACTTTTTGCATTCTATCATGACGGGATTGAATAATAAACATTTAGTTTCCGCATTGTATATGGATTTAACAAAAGCATTTGATTACGTTAATCATAATATTTTGCTACATAAACTAGAAGCGTATGGTGTCAGAGGCAACGTATTGGCATTATTAAAATCTTACCTCAGTGATCGACAGCAATGTACTCAAATCTCTCGCATATGTCCAAAAACGTACATAGAAACTGATTACTCATCAGATTTTAGTGACGTACTTCAAGGGGTTCCACAGGGCAGTGTACTCGGCCCCCTATTATTTATCATTTATATCAATGATCTGCCTAATTTTATTGACCATGATATGGTTTTATTTGCAGACGACAGCACAGTTATGTTCAGTGACAAAAATAAAAATGACTTAGAACTAAATATTAATTATACTCTTGGTACAATAATTCAATGGTTAACCTATAATAATTTGCTAATAAATTTAGATAAAACTAATATTATGACATTCAGGAACAGGAAAAATAATTTGCAACAAATTGACATAAAATTTAATGGATGTAAGGTTAACGAAGTGGAGACTGCAAAGTTTTTGGGTCTTCATGTTGATAGCGGTTTGAATTGGAAATTTCAAGTTGAAAGTGTATGTACAAAGTTAAGTCAATTCTCTTATGCACTGTATATGCTTGGCAAAGTAGTGAACCCATCTGCTGTTATTACTGCATACCACGGGTATGAATCACTATTAAGGTACGGGGTCATCTTTTGGGGTAACTCGGTTGACAAAGACATTGCGTTTAAAGCTCAAAAAAAATGTGTCAGAGCAATATGTAAACTTACACCTACAGAGAGTTGTAAACCCGCATTCATTAGTTTAAACTTGTTAACCTTACCATGTATTTATATCTATGAGGTAGCCATATTTGTAAAGCTGCATATTTCAATGTTTGATCATTTAAAGAGCAAACGACATGGTAAGAAGATATGCTTTCCATCAAACAAAACTGCTCAATTCAGTAATAGTATATTTTGCATGGCACCTCGTATTTACAACCATCTCCCGCTTGACATATTGCGATGTTCAAACTTAGGAACATTTAAATTTAAATTAAAACAATTACTTATTAATAAGGCATATTACAATGTAAACAATTATCTTAATGACAAATTCAGTTGAGTTTTGGGTTTGCTTAGTGTTTATGACTCAATGATATTAATTCTTTTATGATAATAATTACTTAATTTTATCGTCTTGGACTACTTGTGACATCTACCTATATTTTCTTATGACTAATTTAAATAATATAATAAATGATAAATTGTAATTGTAATTAATATTTTCTTATGACTAATTTAAACAATGTAATTAATAAATAAATAATAAATTGTAATTGTAATTAATATTTTCTTATGACTAATTCAAATAATGTAAGTAATAAATAATAAATTGTAATTTTCACAAATAAGTATTGCATGCTAATTGGCAGAATGTAGCTGATCAAATTATTTTATAATACCTACTGTAACATCTACACTTGACCTATATTCGCAATAAATGATTTGAATTTGAATTTGAATTTATGTATTTTTGTTTAATTTGGTAGTGAAAATTTGTGTCGAAATTATTTAGTTACCTATTCTTGTTTTCATGGTAATCCTATCTACAATATTCATTGTATTTTAAAGATGTTCAATGATAGATTGAAACATCCTTACTAATATTATAAATCGGAAAGTGAATTTGTTTGTTCCGCTTTCACGCAGTAACTACTAAACCGATTGCTTTGAATTTTTGCAAACGTAAAGTTAGAAGATCGGATTAAATAATAGGGTACCTTTTATCCCAGATAAATTTGATATTCCAGAGGGAAAACAAAAGTATTGGTATAGATGGCGCTGTATGTATTGGTATATGTCACATAGGCTACTTTTTAACCTTTTGTGACGCGAGCGAAGCCGCGGGTAAAAGCTAGTACTAAGTAAATGGGAAATATTATTGATTCTTGTTCAGTCAATTTCTTTTTTCTCAGTGGTAGTACGGAGTCTGGAATTGTGCCTGGTATATGGCAATAGGCTCAACCCCCATTACGTGGGACTCCTAACATAAATAGTTAAAAGTGGGTGTTACATTGTACAGTGGCATTAAGTGCCGTAATGTGTACCTCTGCCTACCATTTCGTGTATAAAAGGCGTGATGTTATGTTATGTATATTATATCGTGTCGTAAGACCGTTTTCATCAGCTCCTGGACTTATACTTCATCGATAGAACATCACTAACCTCGATCTACAGTATCTAAACATTTATTGGCTGAATTTATATCAAAAAAATACTTTGAACATGTCTATCCCTTATTTCCAGGCGATACAGACGAGAACGTATACGTAGTTCAGAACGGTCGCGTGAACGTGTACATCACGAACCAGGACGGCAGCAGTCTCTCGCTGAAGGTGGTGCGCGCTGGGGAGAGTGTGACGTCACTGCTCAGCTTCACTGACGTGCTTACAGTGAGTACAATGTTTGTATTTAAAAAAAGAGGGATTTTTTTAAGGGGGGAAAATCATCGAATTACTGCTCCCGCCTGGGTGAGGCCGGAGGGAGTGTCAGACTCTTACTGGCTAAAAACCACCCCGTTCCTTCTCCTGCACGTCGAGCCGGAGCCCCGGTTACCCTAAAAGTGTGTAAAGACACATTTCCTGAGGGCCTAGTACGAGTTTCTTTTTCGTTTAAAGTAATTGTGACGAGTACGCGTTCGGAGCTGTGATTGGCCGGCTCCAATGAACAAACCAATCAGAGCACCGAACGTTTTAGTAAAAGAAACTCGTACTAAGGCCTCTGATGTTCAATATGACTAATATTACGCCTTCGACGTGTTCTTTCCTAAAAGTACGTCTATTTTTAACCAATTGGGTACTTTCCTTAATCAAAAATAAATTATTTCGACTGTTCAATACAATGAAATAAAAAAAATATTCACACTTTTATTAATTGATTTTATGACCTATTTATGTTTAGTATTTTTCTAGCAAATATTTAAGAAATAAGTACGCTGTTTGACGCTAAAAAACGTGACGTCACAATCGACAATCTCGTACAAAATTCATAGAAAACTGTCGTTTTCGACAGCTCGAAAAAAGTATTGCACTTGACTAGTTGGCAAGTAGGTACTCATTAGTATCGTTTGGAAAAATTGTTTGAAGATCTGTTCAACAAAGTTTGAATTTGTCGTAGCAAGACAGAAAAAAACATGTTATTTACGTTAAACTCTATGCTAATATGATATGATTGTAATTATGTATTTTCCAGGGACACTCACAACCCTACAAGACTGTAAACGCTAAGGCGTTGGAGGACTCGCAAGTAATCAAGTTACCGATGAGGGCTTTCCAAGAAGTCTTCAAGGAGTACCCGGACATATTCGTCCGAGTTATACAGGTATTTTAATCATAACCTACATTAATACGACTTTAAAATGGTTGATATCATATTTGACCTAAATATTTATAATGAAACATAAATATTAGGTCAACTACATAACTATAATAATCAAACCAAATCAAATCAAATCAAATCAAATCAAATCGAATCAAATAAAATCAAATCAAATCAAATCAAATCAAATCAAATCAAATCAAATCAAATCAAATCAAATCAAAAGTCATTTATTTGCCCGAACAAGGTATACAGTGGTCACATTATAATTATAGTCCTAATGAAGTAGTAGATAAGCCCTAATGAAGAGTCAGTGAACTAAAATTCACCTGAAACATATTTATCTTATTTATTTAAATTTACAGATCATTATGGTGCGTCTACAGAGGGTGACATTCACAGCTCTCCATCAGTACTTAGGATTGAGTGCCGAGTTGGTCAATCCGGTAAGTATTTTATAGTTATTAAAGTTCAATCGGTGTTGTTATTCATGAGCAGAGCCGTGCGTGCGTGTTGCGTGTCGTGAGACATTGAATTAACTAAAGAGTTACTTACGTAAATATAAATATAGTAGTGACAAAAGCTCTACTAGTTTCGAGTCAAAGAGGGACTCTTCCGGTCGCGACGTCGCCCTTCCCTCTGTGACTCGAAACTAGTAGAGCTTTTCTCAGTATATTAACGTGTGTAACTCGAAATATTTAGTCAATTGCATATGTTTGTTTACTGCCATATCCTATAAAATATGAGTAAGTTAACAATATTTAAGGATAAACAAACTAACTATGTCTCTTCTAATATTATTCTCATCTCAGATTGTATTCATCAATAATAAACATTCCAGGGTCGCGACAAACGGCGTCCAAATACAGTGTCGTCGTCCCCCGGCAAGGCGGCCAAGATGTCGACGGCCGACAGCAGCGCCAACATGCACTCCCCGCACCACAGCGACCGAGCCATGTCCGAACATCTCGTGAGTTACAACTACAATCGTTGTTTGTGAATAAATACATAGAGTGCTTTTTGATATTCAGTGATTTTAAGCTTTAAAATGTCAAACACCGCGAGGACACCGGTGACCGCAACCTATTGTTCTTTAATTGTGTCTATAATGACGGTACTCAAAGGGTTAAATATTAACTTGATGTATTAAATGACTGACGACTGCCTCTTTGGCCGAGTGGTCGCAACTGCGACTGCCGGCAAGGGGTCTCGGTTCCCAGGTCGGATAAAGTATTACTGGGCTTTTAAAATATTCTGAGTAGTAGCACGGAGTCTGGAGTTGTGCCCTATGGCAATAGACTCACCCTCTATTACATGGGACTCGGAACATAAATAGTGAAAAGTAGGTGTTACCTTTGTGTGCACCTCTGCCGACCCCTTCGGGAATAAAAGGGAATAAAACATAACATAACATCACGATGTTATGTTATGTTTTTGTTAAATGACTTTTGGCCGATTTTCCAATCATCAGTTAATTCTTAAATGTGCAATAAAATTGACATTTGACAGTTTTTAGTATGGAAGTATTGTCCAAATATTCAAAGTTCCTCTGATAAAATTTATCTGAGTATTGAAAAATCGTCCCTTAGCATGCTGTAAATTATTTTAATCGATTATTAAGTAGTTGGTTACTTATAGGCTCTCTATTAATTAAATCATTTATTCGTTAATATATGGGTAAATTACATTAAGTTTTTAGCAGAAATGTACAGTTCCGTCCGTATTACACTTTGAGGCATGCAAATTACAAAATGGCGGCATTATAATATGTGAGATATGTGTGTGTGCTCTGTATATGAGATGATTTTTCAGAAATTACTAAGCTTTATTAGTCATATCTAAACCAAACTGTTGTTTAGTTATGAATACAATTTATGAGTTATTGCATCCCTTTTAACTAAAGTTTGAATCCTTACTTCCTTACTTATATTATAGATCGGAAAGGGAGTTTGTTTGTTTGTTTGTTCCGCTTTCACGAAGTAACCACTGAACCGATTGCTTTGAAATTTTGCAGAGGTAAAGTTAGAAGTCTGGATTAAATAATAGGGTACTTTTTATCCCGGAAAAATTTGATATTCCCGAGGGAAAACAAAAGAATTGGTATAGATGTCACATAGGCTACTTTTTATCCTTTTGTGACGCGAGCGACGCCGCGGGTAAAAGCTAGTACATAAATATGACCGAGTAACCATAATTAGTCGTAAAATTACCTTTTTATGTTATTGCAATGGATTTAATACATGTGTGAGCTACCCCTAATAACAAGTTTCCTCCCATAAACTAACAGAATGCATGCCAAGAACCGAGTCACCCGGCCTCGTCCCCCATACACATACAAGGACGCCGGCAGAAACCTGACATGGTGCCCGACATAGCGTCCAATACGCCACAGGTGAGAAATATACTATGATGGAAAGATAAATAGAAGTTGAATTGTAGTTGGTTGCAGTATTGATTTGTTTTATAATAACTATCGTGAGTCATACTGAATTAACTAAAAAATACGAGTTACTCACGTAAATGTACTGTGAAAAGCTCTACTAGTTTCGAACCACAGAGGGACTCTTCCTTATGAGCAGCGTGTGCGGTCGCGGCGATGTCGCGCAGTCTATTCCCTTGTTAAGAGTCTCTCGTAATTTTTACTTAATACTTTGATTTGTGTCATTGTATAACTTTTGATACATGTTGTAGAAATAAGAGTCTACAATTTTATTTTATTTTTTTCATTATTGTAGTACTTATGGCGTAGGGTTGTTATAGGTGCGCTTGCGCAAGTATAATGAAAATAGTAACTTAATAAAATGTTACAATGTTACAATAACTTAATAATATGTTACAATAATCTATCGTTACAATAACGTTGTCGTTTATTATTTATAGTTCTTTATATAAAGTAATTGCTCCTTTCAGAATCAACCAGATGTCCAGCCAACTCCACCTCTTCAGAGGGCTCGGGAAGGATCTTCCTTCAAGAAACACAATACGGATAACCTTGACGAACAGGTAAGCACGGTCATTATCATATCATTCATATGACATTCACTGTTATTTTTTTGAGGGGGAGAAAACATCCAATTACTTCTCCCGCCCGGGTGAGACGATAGGGACAACTCTTACTGACTAAAAATCACCCTGTTCCTACTCCTGTACTTTGTGCCGGTGCCCCGGTAACCCGTTAGGCCTTCCACGGCTCCGTATCGGCATCAGCCTTATTAGGCCCCATCTAAGACATTCACTGCTGAGTAAAGGGTTTCCTCATTGACGTTCACGTCGACCTGTTAAAAGCGACTTGCATTAAACGGCGTCCTATAGTAATCCTTACTTAATATTATAAATTGGAAAGTGAGTTTGTTTGTTCCGCTTTCACACCATAACTACTAAACCGATTGCTTTGAATTTTTGCAGACGTAAAGTTAGAAGTCTGGATTAAATAATAGGGTACTTTTTATTCCGGAAAAATTGATATTCTCGAAGGAAAACGAAAGTTTTGGTATATATGGCGCTGTGTGTATTGGTATATGTCACATAGGCTACTTTTTATCCTTTTGTGACGCGAGCGAAGCCGCGGGTAAAAAAGCTAGTATCAATATTGAATTGTTTGTTAATGCATCTTTATCAAAATTTATAACGAATGTTCATTCTCATATTTAAATACTTTCATATCTATGTTTTTGCGGGATTATTTCGCATTTGGTTGAATCGATTTTGATACGGTCTTCAGAAAAGGGTTTGTTACACTTAGGAGAAGGTTTTAGTATATTAATTAACTGACTTATAAAAAAGAGAGGGTTGAAGTCGGATCTTTTAAACGTAGTTTATATAGTAATTATTCCTCTAATTTTTTCAATATCTTATCCATTTAAATACAAAATTACATCAAACTGGCCTGGTCAGTTACAGGAGGCCAGAGGTCTGGCTGGAGGACGATGCCCATGGAATTAAGCCCACCTTGTACATTAGAGTGTGCATGAAACCTTTAAAAAAAAAATTACAAAATATTTCTATAATATTTTCAGACGCTAATCCAAATAGCAACGGACGCGTTCGTGAAAGAACTTGGACTGGACAGTGACACAGTGTTACGCGGCAACGTGCAAGTTAGGGACCTGCCGGCTGGGACCTATATCATGAAGGAGGAGAGTCATAAGGTAGGATTACTTATCTAATACCTTTTTTACATAACATTACGCCTTTTATCCCCGGAGGGATAGTCTGTGGTGCACATTACGGCCCTTAATGTAACACCCACTTTTCACTATTTATGTTATGAGTCCCGTGTAATAGAGGAGAGCCTTTTTTTCTGTATATTAAAATATGGCAAGAATCTTTAAATCTATAGGGATTATGCCAGACTCATCGTGACCATGAGAATTATTGAAGTAGCGAAGAAATATTAGGATCTGCCTATATAATACCTTTAAACGAGCAATTCTTGTACTTACCTATATATGTATGAACGATATTGGAAACGATGACAACGGTTTCCTTGAAAATGTTGTACTTAGGGAGTTTCAGGGGCGATAAATCGATCTAGCTAGGTTTCATTTTCAGTAAATGTCGTTTCCTAGAAAGAGCATCGAGCTTGGCCGTCCAGGGTTTTTTATGATGGAGGTAATCTTTAAAAGGTGCCTAGGTATTTGGAGAGAAATACCAGGAAGTGGGGGATCCTTACATCATTAAAACCTCCCCAATGACCACCACCCGCACCCAATGAAATGGTGCTTTACATCTGTGCAAGGAGGGTTGGGATTCCTTTGTCCGGCAGTGAGACGTACATGGCAGAAAATTAAAAATAATTAAATTAAATGATACCCACGTAACTGTTCGAGTGTACTCAACTAGTTTCAAACTACGATCGGGGCTCATAAACTGGAGACTTCAACAATGGGGATGATGACAGGGTATAAAAATTAAAAATATAATTAGTCCGTAAGTTAGGTATTGAAAAAATATTAGACACGTATTTTTTTATTTTGTCGTATAATAAAACAATACTTAGATAAAACGAATCAAAGTTTAGGAGTGGGGGCTAAAACGTCATTTCTTAGTATAAAATGTACTGAGAAGTGACGTCACGCGACATTTCAAATCAATATATCTTCGAAACTATTCGTTTCTGTGAGAAAATAAAAAATACGTGTCTAATGTTTTTAAATAATCTATCAGACTGACATTAAAATAAAAATTAGTCGTCTACCCTATTATGTTTAGTCAGTCTGTTTGGTTGGTTATTAAATTATTTTTATAATTTCGTTTCATAAGCTGTATTATAGTATCCCCGGCGAGCCGGAGATCTCTCAGGTATGGTTTTAGTGTGATACATTGACAGTTCAACATGCCATGGAAACCATATCACTGTCATGATCACATGTATAAAACCATGAAATTTTTAACTTTTTCGTAATATGAAATCGGAATAAATGTATTGTGAATTGTAAAAGATAAATCATATTTTTAATCTTTTGCATATCAATCCCACTAAAATTTTGTTTAGTCAATAGGTATTAAGATAGTCTTATGAAATGAGTTAATTGTAATCATTGTAAAACATTCAACTTACAAAAATTCACTATTTATTTCTATACCATCGTGTTATGTTGTTAATAATTGTTTTATACTGTTGTTTTGCTTATTCATATTGTTAACCGTTTACCTGTCTCTTTTTCACACAAAAATATGAAACTAATTATTAAGTTTTCGGCTTAATCACGTAACTGTTTGACAAAGAACTCGACTAGTTTCAAGCCATGCTAGTAGCTCATATTCATGAGCAGCATTCCGCGACCCGCGACGCGGCGACTGTCGTAAAGAACGCACGAATGTTTTAATATTTCTGTTCATTCTGTTTTTTTTTTATATAATCTATTCAAAATGTTCTGGGCTTTTAACTGTTGTAACAAAAAAACAGTCTACTGTTGAATGAAACAAGATCTATTTTTGCAGTAAAATATTGAATTTAACTATAAGTTCTTCATTTCTAGGATGTGGCGCTAGTATACCTGTTATCTGGGGCTCTGCTGGTCTCTCAAAGAGTAGCTGAAGGCGAAGGAGAAGTGCACATGTTTACTGCTTATCCAGGTGAGATAATAGCCTATTACAAATATTTGTAACTACATACATAAGGGTGGGAGAGCTATGCTTCGGCATGAATGGGTCGGCTCGACAGGAGCGATATCACGGCCTCACAAAAAACCATTCACGGATAATAAAGTAGGTGGGCCCCACGAATATCCCAACGACAACTGTTACTGGTAAACTAATAGTTTGTAACATGCCTTTTATCCTGTAGAAGGCAGAGGTGTACATTACGGCACTTAACAATTGAACACCGACTTTTCAAGTCCCATGTAATAGGGGATGAGCCTATTGCCATATACCGGGCACATTTTCAGATTCTGTACTACTACTGAGATTATTTTTAAACCCAGTCCTCATTCAGTACCCTTGACCGGTACTCGCACTTCCGACCACTCGGTCAATGCGGCTGTAAAATAATAGTGTGTTTTATTCATATTCCAGGTGAAGTGGAAGGCGGTCTGGCAGTGCTAACAGGGGAGCCAAGTTTCTTCTCGATCAGAGCGAAACATTTCTCCCGCATCGGCCTGTTATCGAAGACGACAGTGTACAGCATCATGAGGGAGCGCCCCTCTGTAGTATTGCACATCGCCAATACTGTCGTACGGAGATTGTCTCCTTTCGTGAGGCAGGTCGACTTTGCGCTGGATTGGGTGAGTTTTAATCATTAATTTGTTAATGTATTAATTTGCGAAAGGTTTCTTTTATGACGTCACGACAAAGACAGCGACCTTTTACGTCCAGTTTCTATAACCTATCTATCTGTAGATTTGTTTACTAGAGATAGAATTTTGACATGAGCTCCATACAAAATGTGTCAAAATTCTACAGATAGATAAATAGCTGCCTACAGATAGATAGGTTATAGAAACTGGACGTAATTAACGTAGTCATGACAAGTATTTCTATGGCGTAGAGCGGTAACACCAGATGACAGTGTTGCCAATATTTTAAGTATTGGGGGTTGGGGATAGACGGCAGGCAGGGGAGCAAGAAGGATTAGGTATGGGAGGAGGGAAGGATTAGGGATTGAGAATAGGGACTACCTCATTCCCAATAGAGAAGGGGCATTATTGTTTAAAAGCACATATAGTTTCATCTATATTTCTTATCTTTTTATTATTAAATTGAAGGTGTGACAAAAATAGAAGTTTTCATCTATGTTTCTGAACTCTACAACTCCATTTTCAGTATTTTACTCAAAAAACATCATTTTCTCTGCACAGGTGTTCCTCGAATCAGGCCGCGCAGTCTACCGGCAGGACGAAGAATCAGGTTCCACATTCATAGTCCTCAGCGGTCGTCTGCGTTCCGTCATAACACATCCGAACGGCAAGAAGGAGTTAGTAGGAGAATATGGAAAGGGAGATTTAGTAGGGATAGTGGAGATGGTCACTCAGACTAGAAGGAGTACTACAGTCATGGCTGTCAGAGATTCCGAGCTGGCCAAGCTACCTGAAGGTCTGTTCAATGCTATTAAACTGAGGTTCCCCGTTGTGGTGACGAGGCTGATTAATCTGCTTGGACATCGGATTTTGGGTGAGTGCTTTTTTTCTTTATGATTATAGTTTTTTAAGTTTTGCACAGTATTGTGTAGGCCAGTTATACACAACACACACAACATCACGCCTTTTATCCCCGACGGGGTAGACAGAGGTGCACATTATGCCACTGTACAATATAACACCCACTTTTCACTATTTATGTTATCAGTCCCATGTAAAAGGGATGGGCATCCATTGGCATAGATTTAGATTCCGTGCTACTACTGAGGTTTTTTTTTAAAAACCTAGTAATTCTTTGCTTGTTACGGAAATCGAACCCAAAACCTTGTGCCCGGCAGTCGCACTTGCGACCACTCAGCCAACGAGGCAGTATCCAGTTGTAACCAAAGCCAGTTATATACATATTTAATAGATTCATTTCTTCTAGAATAGACCTATTAGAATAGAAGGTGTTCTGTTGAACGACGCCTTCAACGTTCATTATGAATTTATCAGTTTTACGCCCTAATACTGGAAGGCTACTCAAATTTAAGTTGTACTTAAGTATCGTGCCGTCTCTGTCATTTTACAAAGAACTTGTAGTGACAGAACTATACTTAAGTGCGATTTAAAATTGAGTAGTGTTTCAGTATTCCGGCTTTAGTCAATGAGAAATACAACCTATTTATTATGTAATCTTGCTGATCAAGTGATAAGACAGTGTATGGATGAAAACAATATTCCTAATAAAAATATGAATATGAAGTGTTTTCATTCACATTCAATCCCATATCACAAATCCTGTCCTACTTTTTCAGGATCATGGCAGAAACCAACAGCGGGTCTAGGAGGCGCGGCCGCCATAGAACCGCGCCCCTCCCAGCACAACTTCTCCACCGTGGCCGTCGTACCAGTCAGCGATGACGTACCATTGACTGCCTTCACATACGAGCTGTACCATTCCCTGTCTGCTATAGGTAAGTAATTAGTATTTAGATTTACTAATTTATAGAAATCAATTTTTCATGAACTACATACTATGAGTGACAGATCAATTTGTTTTGAAATTTTAATAAACTAAGTTTTTAATTATTTTTATGGGATAAGGCGATAAACGAGCCGATGGATAACCTGAATTCACCTGATGGTAAGCAATCGGCGTGGTCCATGGATACCTGGAGTACCAGAGGCGTTCCAAGTGCGTTACTGGCTTTTTGGGAAATAGGAATTTAAGGATTGTTAGGGATTCAAGGATTGGGGATATTGGGGGGAGCGGGAGGGGGAAAATTCGGTCTCCCACTAACCTCACTCACACCACGAAACACAGCGAAAGCCTTGATTCACGTCAATTTTCTGTGAGGTTGTGGTAGCAGTCCGGTAAACATTCGTGCCGAAGCATCGCTCTCCCACACTTTTCAATTTTTGTAAATAAATGATTTTATTTTAAACAAAAACATATTATGCGGCAGCATTCTGCAGTGGTATTGTAGGACCATTTATTTGTAAAATAATAATAATATGTACTTTGTTTTCCTGTTTTTCTAAGTTTTATGTTTCCTTTTTTATGTAGAAGTGATATCATGCGTTGTTTCGTTTTAATTGACTGCCTTAAGTTTTTCATTTCAGCAGCAAAATACCCGATCCTTACTTTTGACAGTCATTTACATAAAGGACATTTAAAAAGATTTTGATCTTCTCTCTTAATACAAGACAGATATGACGATTGCTAATAAATATATTTGTTTCTTTTCCAGGCCCTACAGTGCGTCTGACTTCTGATGTAATCAGAAAACTTCTCGGTTTGACCATTATGGATCCTAATAACGAGTACAGACTCAGCTCCTGGCTAGCTCAGCAAGAGGATAAGCATAAGGTATGAGCAGAAACTTCAGAAGTAGCAGTTTTGAGTGACCTATTGTTCAATAAGAAGTAGTAAGTATAGACTGTTTCGTTGAACGAGTGGTCGCAAGTGCGACTGCTGGGAAAGGGGTTCGATTCCCGGGTCAGGCAAAGTACTACTGGGTTTTAAAAAAAAAATCTAAATACTAGCACGGAGTCTGAAATTGTGCCCGGTATATGGCAATAGGCTCCCCAATTACATGGGGCTCATAACTTAAATAGTGAATAGTGGATGTTACATTGTAGAGTAGCAATAAGTGCCGTAATGTGCACCTTCGCCTACCCCTTTGAGGATAAAGGGCGTGATGGTATGTAATGATATGTAAGTAGTAAGTATTCACTTATTTATATTCATACATACGCGAGAACGAAAATATTTTAAATTTTTTAGAGGTTTCTTAGGGCTATAGAATTTATTATAGATACATTTCAAAAATGCATGTAATAGCCTATTGCCTATCCTTGTTATAATAGAATATTTGTTAAATTCCAGGTGGCCCTATACCAGTGCGACCCAAGTCTCACCCAGTGGACACAGCGCTGCATTCGTCAGGCTGATTGTATTCTGATTGTAGCATTGGGAGACAAACAACCGAGTATTGGAAAGGTAAGTTTGTTATTTGTACGTGACCTCCTATGTAGGTGATTTGGATACCTACTCAGATACATTGGATAACAGGATAGATTACCGGAGGCCCAATTACCCTCCCCTTCTCCAATCTCCCCAATCCCTGAATCCCCAACGATCCTCAAACTCCTAATCCCTAAAAAGCCGGTAATCCACTTGTAACGCCTCTGGTTTTCCTGGTGTCTATGGGCGACGCCGATTGCTTACCATCAGGTGATCCGTCTGCTCGTTTACCGGCTTATGCCAAAACTCTTTGGAACAAGCGCCTAGCTTCACTAACAGACAGACGGACGGACAATTCAATTTTTTCAAAAAGTATCTAATTCATTGAAATAAATGCTTTGCGCAAGTTGCGCATTGAAGAAAATTATTACGAGATTGCGCAAGTTGCGCTTGATTGGTTTTTTAAATTAATATGTTGTTTTTGTTGCGCATAATAGATTAGTGATGTTCGATTATTTTTCGCATTTTGAATATAGTAAAAAAAATCGTCATGTAAATGTTTTACACAATATTTGCGCAAAATTCTTGCGCAAAAAAGTTGCTTAGAATTTGTTTTTGAAGTTATTATTTTTGTTGTTTTTTATGAAGCATGTATGTTAAACATGCTTCGTCATATTTTATTTATAATTCACAGTGCATTTAATCCGAATTTCAGATAGAAAAAGAAATAGAACGCCTAGCGATACGTACTCAGAAGGAGCTGGTCCTCCTGCACCGCGAGGGCGGCCCGCAGCCGGCCGGCACGGTGCACTGGCTCAACATGAGGTCCTGGGTCAGTCAGCATCATCACGTGCGCTGCCCACACCGCATGTTCACTAGGAAGAGCCAGTATAGGATCGTGAGTGGCTTTTTTGATTAAGTGAAAATTGAATTTTATCTTATACTTCTTATACTATTATATAAAGCGGAAGAGTTTGTTTGTTTGAACGCGCTAATCTCCGAAACTACGGGTCCGATTTGAAAAATTCTTTCTGTGTTGGATAGCCCATTTGTCGAGGAAGGCTATAGGCTATAAAACATCACGCTACGATTAATAGGCGCTGAACAGAGCGAGTGAAACCGCGCGGAAGTAGCTAGTACATGAATAAAGTTACTAGTAACATTAGTCGATATTGAACATTTTAACCGACTTCAAAAAAATAAATGTTCTCGTTTAGATCTGTGTGTATAAAACTTTATCCTAAGTGTAACAAACAGTTTTCTGCAAACCACATCAAATCGCTTTAGCCAATTGCGAGATAATCGCAAAATAATATAACAATCAAACATAAAAACAGAACCGAGATCCTCCTTTTTTGAAGTCGGTTAAAAATAACGAAATTTTGCTCCTGTATTTATTTCCTCTTTATATATTCTTACATACGCCTTATATATCTTTATATCTTCTTTTATATATATAATTCTGCTATACATACGTGTGTATGTCATTGAACTCCTCCTAAACAGCTTGACGGATTTCTATGATTTTTTCTGTATGCCTTTGAGTAGTGCCCTGGATGGTTTAGATTTACTAATCAGGCCGGCAGATGGCGCTGCAGTCGGTGTCTAGATTAGTCATCCTAAACGGCTGAACTAATTTGAATGAATCTTTGTTGATACTTTCAAGTGGTTATGCAGGACAACGTCTGTCGGGTCCGCTAGTGTTATATATATCCTTATATATGCTCCTGTGTTTAATCCCCAGAGCGAGTTATACAGCAAAGTCCTGATGTCAGAAGCCAGCGTGCACTCGGACTTCTCCCGGCTGGCGCGCTGGCTGACGGGCACCTCCGTGGGGCTCGTGCTGGGCGGCGGCGGGGCGCGGGGCGCGGCGCACGTCGGGATGGTGCGCGCCATACAGGTACATGGGAAATCATTGTGTTTTGTATGTTTGGCTGTTTGTTGGAGTAGTTTTCGATGCCAGTTGGTATGTCAAAGTTAATAGAATGCGATGTTTTTATGATAGCAATAGATTTTGTGTTGACTTATATTATGTCATGGGAAAAATTTAGGTTTTGTTATTTTCTACAATTTACCGTTAGTGTAATGAAAATGCTAACAACACAGTGTTTTGCTACATCGAACATTGTATATATACAAATAATAAAATCGCAGGAAAGTGCAAACTGTACATTGTTTTTTTTTTTTAAAGAAGGCTTCGTGTGTGATCTGCATACTTCACCGAAGCTAAAAATATGGTTTATAGATCTTTTTGTCTGTTTATCTGTATATATGTCTGGGCTAAACTCAAAAAGTATATGGATTTCTTCACTTCTTCAAATTTTGCATGAATATTACTAACAGGTCGGGTTAACATATAGACTACATATTATCACACTATCACCTGGGGAGGAGCTGTGAAACACTATTTCACGCGAACGAAATCGTAGGCAACAGCTAGTTCATAATATGTCCCGATGTGTTTAGTAAAATAGTTCCATGTGACTAGTATCATTTACGAATATCATCATTCAATTGAAAGCTTTAATCCTAACGGTTCAATTATGTAAAATATAAACAAACAGAAACCACCATAGATAAAGAATAAGTACTTGTCTAAAATACTATGATCCCAATTTCAGGAAGCCGGTATCCCCATAGACATGGTGGGTGGAGTAAGTATCGGAGCCTTCATGGGAGCTCTATGGTGTATGGAGAGGAACATCACTACTGTCACGCAGAAGGCGAGAGAGTGGTCACAGGTATGTATACTAACGATATAAATACTAAAATAATATTCAATACAATATTAGTATTAAAATTGACTTATTTTTGACATTAGTTTTATAATTGGATACTTTCCTTAATTAAAAATAAATTATTTCGACTGTTCAATACAATAAAATATTAAAAATAAACACACTTTAACTAATTGATTTAATATACTGTACTTTATTTAATTTTTTATAAATTTTACACTTCTTATTGAAATAAATAATTAAAACTAAAATATTTACACCTTAAACAAATAATAATAATGAAAAAATGATTTAATGACCAATTTAATTTAAGTATTTTTCCAGCAAGAAATAAGTATGCTGTTTGACGCTACAAAGAAGTGACGTCACATTACACAAACTCTTACAAAATTCATAGAAAAATGTAGTTTTTAACAGTTCGAAAAATGTATTGATTTCGACTAGTTGACAAATACCCAATTAGTGTGGTCTTAGTTATTAGATTCTGTCTAAACAGAGACCGATTCAAAAATTTTCGTTTAAGATTAGTTATCAATTTCGGTCATATGTGAATTTGTTATTATTTTCTAGGTAATTTAACCAAACTTTCATAAATATTCCAGAAAATGACACAATGGGGCAAACAGCTCCTAGACCTGACCTATCCAGCCACCTCCATGTTCTCCGGGAGACAGTTCAACGCCACCATCAGATCTACCTTCGGAGATGTCCACATCGAAGACCTGTGGCTTCCATACTTCACTGTCACTACTGACATCAGCTCCAGTTGCATGAGAGTACATCGACATGGTAAGTTTCTACCATAATAATTAAAAATCTAGATTTTATACAACAATTCTAGAATATTTTGGGAAATACATATTGGTTTATGATATATTTTTCGGGTTGACTCGATTAGTTTCGAGCCCGATGGTTAAAGGCTCCGGTTGAGCCTGTAAACTTTTGTAAATAAATAATTTGTTTGAAAATGTGACGAAGATTTTTTTGAATTCAAAGTTTTTATAATGTTTGGATTGTTTTATGATTTATTTTGGACTAAATACTGACACGATAATTATCCAATACGTAAATGAAATTATTTTTCAATCTATTTATTTTAAATTAAACATAAATAATATTAACAAAAGTAAATTTTAACAAATATGTGTGCAAAGCTTCAAACAGATCGCAATCATTGTGTGTCTCAATGCACTTGGAACTTAAAATATTCACAAATATTTGAATTATAATTAGTCCATACAATAACACAACACATTTCGTGGATAGGAAATATTTTTTTAATAAAATTTTGTTGTTTTTAATCTTTATTTTGCACTTTACTAACCCAAATTATGTTTATATTGCTTTTTATTTATATTGTTGTTGTGTATGTAATAAGCGATCGTGGTTGTTGATATGGTATGGCTTTGTTGACGCATTTTAATGTTCATTGGTGTGCTTTGTCGACTACTTAGTGTATATATTTGTATTGGAAATTATCAATACATAATATCATGATTTTTATTCTTTGAAGGGTATATTTTTGTAGAGCTTGTCTAAATTCTGAAAGGTTCATTTTTTTTTCTTTATTATAGAATAAAGTTCCGTGAAATAAGTTCGCGCGCTTTTACATCGGACTCATAACAGCTGTGCCTTTAGCCAAATGCCACTTAGAGCCGATTTTTCAATGATCAGTTAAATTTTATCGGAGGAATAACATTGAATATTTGACAATTCCTCCATACTAATAACTGTCAAATGACAATTTTAATCGACAGTTAAGAATTAACTGTCGATTGATAAATCGGCCCTTAAGCGCTTAGTCTACCAAGGTCGTAGAAAACTCAATATCAATATAGCCCATACTATGACACTGACAAGTATCAAAATTTATGTAAATCCCATATAATTTCTTTTTCTACTCTGTTTATAGACAAGCTCTAAATAACAGCACATGAAATAATGTGATGTAACATTAACTATGTGCAAGAACCCTTTTAGAGAACAAATTAATATTGATACTATGTTATTGATAACAATATAAATTGTATACTCATGTACAGATGAAATATTTTTATGCATATACTTCATTATCAAAGTTTGTTTATACTAACCCTAATTAAACCAACAATATGTGTAGTAGCTACAAACTGAAACGATAAACATTAAAATACGTCAATATGAGCCATTATTTAAGCGAATAATAAGATATTCGTGTCGATGTGATGCATGTTGATATTGATCGATATTGTGTTAAATTGTCGTATAATCTGCAGACCAGATTTTAAGGGCAGTGTGTTGGACGTTTATTAATGTACGATACTGAAAAACTGTAATATATAAACTGTAGCGAGGGTTATTGTATCTGAATTTACGATTATTTAAATCTATTGTTATTTTCCAAAACAATATTGGACACTTTCGACAGCGTTCAGCTGTTGTTGATACTTATAGTGATTGAACAGACAGGACACTTTATTCGACACTACCGCCATCTACAGAGTACAAAAATAATAGCCCTCGCTAAATTATTCTGTGACGTCAACAAACGTATCGTTCATTTATAAACGCCTTATTTAAAAAAGTCACCGTACACGGCTTTAGTGGAGCAACGTTTGAGAGTCGCGTCACTTTGCTATTTGCGGACCTTACTACCGTCATACGATCAGTATCTATGGCGGTAATCATAAGTACTTGCTAATATTTTGAGCTCATGTCATTGACCCCACGCCCGTCACAAGGCAACGTTGTCTCATTGTCCGCTACAGTCTACAAACCACACTCACTTGCATTTATATGTCTGTATGATGTCAAAGTGTGTTTGTTACAATATATATCTGTATCCCACCCCTCCCCCCACACTCACGATCTTCTAAAACTGATTATATTATAATTATTATTATTTTAACAACGTTACGAATCCGACATTTGCCATTGGGAAGTTGCCATTACTTTAAAAAAAAGCGCTTGTGATTGGTTTACCTAATAACGCTAATTTTGGGAGTTTATACATTAAAAAAAGTATTATTATTATATATATCGTCCATATAATGTCGGGTTGGATGTGTATAAGTTTGTATATATCAAAATCATCATACATGTTTCACAATCTCATCTTCGTGTATATGCATGAGTGTGGTTCTTAGTTGTCATTACCCTATAACTCTCCATCCGTAGTTTGTCCGCAGCAGGCTGCGTCTATGTTGTAGCATGGTGCATGTAGTACTGTAGCGTCTATTCTCATCATAGATATGTCACGGACGCGTCGACACTGAGACGTTCTTTGGGTTGGTAAAATATTCACGTTCATTTCCTATCCATGGACTGTGTTGTAACTTAACTTAAGCCCGCGAGTGCACGATGGCCGATGGGTGAGCAGTGTCCTTGTGTGTAGGTTCCCTCTGGCGTTACATTCGCGCGTCCATGTCGCTCAGCGGGTATATGCCGCCGCTCTGCGACCCGCTAGACGGCCACCTCCTATTGGACGGCGGTTACGTCAACAATCTCCCAGGTAAACCAATCACAGCTCTGTGTTGCGTGCCCGTATGCTCCGATTGGTTGATTGGCTGATACGCACACACGTTAGGCTGAGTGAACATATTGTCAGAAGAGTCTGTGAATTATTTATATTTAAAATTTATCGTGTAAAAAGAAATAAAGTTTGTGTGTGAAAGTTTTATATCAAGCAGTCCAAATTAACGTCATTCTGTACTGTATAAAATGACGCATATAAAAATTGTTGGCGTAAAAACCGGTTGCGGGTTACTATAAATACTTTTCTGTAGAATTTCCTCTCAATAGTTAGTGGGAATAGTTTAGATAGCCTTCTAAATCTAACCTCAAAACTAGCTTACATCTGTCTTTCACGAAAAAATCCTTTTCACGCATTTCTTTCACTGTCAATCAGCTTAATACTTTCATACTAAATAAACAAAAATCTCACATATACTAATTTTCCAAAATACCGAAAATTCATAAAATAAATCTTCGTTTTGACGTATATGGTCACTCAGTTTAGCAGTCGAAGGTAAGTAATGGCAACGGTCCCGGTTTTGCCCGATCGTTTACGGAGGAGTTTCGTCAGGTGTCCTATGGAGGTATTGCCGAGCGTCTATGAGTATAGCCGGCATCTTCCCACCGATTTGCGATCCCATGGATGGGCATCTACTTCTTGATGGGTGCTACGTGAACAATGTACCTGGTAAAGTATTATTATTATTATTTTTTATTATTTTATGTTAAAAATAGTATTTCTATAATGGTAACGGTTTAAAAGCGGTATGCTAAAGGCTTATATGATATGTTACAATATTATAATTTGGACTGTCTGTCAAAAGGACAATATAATTATCATCTGGGTAAATTAGTGTCTTAAAATTGGAGAAAGGATTTGAAAAAGGTAAGTATTTAATATAATCAGAGATTTAAAAAATTGTTTCATATGTCTATAATGTGGAGAATTTGTAAAATATTCTAAAGGATCTATTACTGGTGTTATATTTTATATTATACTTAAATTAAATGTTCTGTAGAACTTTTAAAATCACTTTTAAATAAGTATCAGTAAGAAAATATCTATAATATGTTTAATTGCAATATTACAGCGGACGTGATGAGATCTTTGGGTGCTAAACACATCTTGGCCATTGACGTGGGCTCCCAGGACGACACTGACCTCACCAACTATGGTGATGACCTATCTGGCTGGTGGCTTCTGTGGAAGAGGTGAGGAAATAAATAGTCGAGGAATTGTGTTAATTTTTAACACAATATTTAACTCTTTAAAATTGTGTTAGTAGGCATCTACAAGTAGGTATTAATCTGTTTTCGCTCGTATTCAATTATTTAATACCTATATGCCATCTTATAGGTAAAATAATGCTACTAATTTTCGTGTAGGTATTTAAATTATGGCGGGAAGCCGCCATGTTTAACTTGTCAGTTCAGTTCACTAACAATTCGCCAGATGGCGTTACTCGTAATACATAATTCAGGGTCACAGCGTCGTTTTAGTTCTACAATTTCACCGACAGATGACACTATGCCGTGACGTCATTTTCTGAATCGCGGTGTTAAGATTCTCCGCCGTTGAATGACCCTCGCTGCTCGCTCGGCAGAAAGCATACTTACCTGGCGTAGGGGATACCGTGATCAATAAGGCGGTTCCCCCAGGGCGAGGCCTTTCCATTGCACTGCGGTTAGGTTGACCCCTGCGATTATCCCTAATGTGGATAACTCGGACGCGTAATTTTTGGTAGTGGGGACTGCGTACGCGCCGTCCCCTCAGAATTCTTTGAAAATCTAATGAATTTTATGAGAATAATTCATAGAGTTGCTCTTGTTATTCGTAGCTGAAGTACTCCCGACTCCGTCCGATGGACGTTCTATTCATGTGTACGTACTTACGCTACGTTTAAGGACGGGCAATCGTTTAGTTTAGCTAGTTATAAAAACGATTAAACTAAACTAACTTTTATTATACTAATATAAATTAAAAACTAAAGCATTTTTCCAATATTATTGTAACATTTTCCATACAAAAAATATAATGTAACGACAATTTACATACTGTTTTCAAATAGAAAAACACTCTATTTTCAGATGGAATCCATTCACCACGCCTGTGAAGGTGCCGAACTTACCAGATATTCAAAGTAGACTGGCTTATGTGTCTTGCAACCGACAACTTGAGGTATCTATACAATTAATCACATCTTCTATTTAAAGAAATCCAATTTAATTTAGTTGTTCATACATATTTTAATCAGTACTTGCAGTCAGGTGATTGCTTATGCACTTATTTGATTCTGAAGTTTTGATGATTAACCATTTTACTTATGGATCAAAGTTTTGGGTGTAGAAATGGGTTTCTAGTTTTATTTCAGTTCTCTGAATTTCTAAGATGGTGTGGTTCACAGTAGGGTTTTTGATACAGATACAACAGATATAAGATAGTAACATATATTTAGTATGTCTTTCTTAACTTAAGTCAAGCGTATTAATAATTCTATAGCTTACCTTTTAGTCACCAAGAAACATAACATAAATCATAATATTTAAAAATTACAGGAAGTAAAAAAATCCGACTACTGCGAATACATACGGCCTCCGATTGACGCATATAAGACGTTACAATTTGGTTCGTTCGACGAGATCCGTGAAGTAGGCTACCGACATGGTGCGGCCTACTTCGAGGGTCAGCGGCGGGGCGGCGGCGGCGGCGTCAGCGGAGCTGCTGCGGAAGGGAGACGGCATGATGCACAGCCTTCACTTACTGAGTAAGTTGGAAAGAGATAGAAAGGCTTCGACTCGTATTGTGAATTGGGTAGTATCCTAAATTCCGATTTAAATATCCGTCTGGTAGATTATTTGAAAATATTAGACACGTATTTTTTCTTTTCTTATAAAATTAAATACTTTCGATGATTCATTGAAATATCATGTGACGTCACGATTTACTACATTTTATAGGGTAGGGTGACGTAACGACTTCCCACTCCTAAATTTAACTCCGTATTATCAAAGAAATGTTTTCTTATACGACAAAATAAAAAAAATACGTGTCTAATATTTTTTCATTATCTTACTGACGGTTTACATTTTTAATTTTCATTCACTGTCACTTTTGTGATGATGCGGTATAAAAATGTGATGAAGGTAAGTGCAGGAATTTTTATTTATGAACTTAATTGACGCAGTTTTAGTATTTCCAGTGTATGCTTCATGAGTTTTTGTTCATAATACGAGTCGAAGTGTTCGATGCTTTTTATATTGTGGATGCGATTATTGTTGGTTAAGCTTATAACGGTGCGGTGTGGTATAACAAAGAATGGTTTGTGTTGTTAACATTAGTTTTCTATTAACTTATAGGTTTACCCCTAAACAAACATTTATTAGCATTGACATTTTATTTGCACTGAATTTCATTAACACTGATCAATTAATAAATTAAAAATAATTTACATAATTAATTTCATTTTTTAATAAAACTGATTTTCAACACCAATAGAAGTCACATTTCATTGCTTTCTATGTGTGTCGAAGAGTATTTTTTATTTCGTTTTTTTTTAATCAACGCATCAATTAGGTTCCCTAGAAAGATATTATGCATTAAAGGACAAAACAATATCAAATGTATTTGACTATTTTCCTTATAAGAGTGAGTACTTCTCTGTAGAATCTTAGAATACACTAAAGCAGGAATTGTTATCAAGATGTACATATATTTAAGGACAAAAACAACTTGACAGCTGAAGAACAAACATAGAGTATTTTACGTGATGTAGATATTATCAACTCTTGCTTTAGCTGTTGTATTTAGTATATTTATTTTATAATATTTATTAGAGCTTTGTGCTAAACATTGTGAATATAGCGCTTTAAGCATTTATTGCCGGAATACTGAAACGTTACTCAATTTCAAGTCGCGCTTAAATATCGTGCCATCTCTGTCATTTTACAAAGAATTTGTAGTGACAGAACTATACTTAAGCAGGACTTAAAATTGAGTAGCGTTTGAGTATTCCGACATAAATCTAGAATATTCTAGTTATTTATATATATTAATATGTTAAAATATGACGTACCTATTTTAGTCCTAAGCGTATGCAGTTATAAAACTATAAAGGTAATTCAATCTTTAGTATTTAATAATAGTTTATAAATATAGAAAAATATTATCGCTAGAATATTGTACCTACAAATTGTGAGCGGGTGCAACCATATCGACGGTGGCGGTGACCTACACTACATAAGTATGGGTAGTGAAACAATCTAGTTTTGTTATATAAGGTACCGGTACGGGACGACGTACTTTGAGGGGCAGCGCCGAGTATGTGCCAGACGCCCTAGTGGCATCATCGATGGAAGAAAGAACCACCCACAACCTTCGATTACTGAGTAAGTTTGTTATTGCTAGACTTGGCCATTGTTATTTTGGTTGGATAATGTTGTGTTGTCTCCTTGTGGGTACGTAGTTTTCTTTTTGGTTAAATTTAATCAACTAATTTGTCTCAATGTTTAAATCTAGTCTATCTATAGATGTAGGTATAAGTGAAAGCCGTATTCTTTTCAAAATATTATATAATTATGCTGAAAACTAGTTCATTCTTTAAAAATGGCAAACAATTTTTATTACAAGTATGATTGAAGGATATGCCCCATAACTGCTACCTGTAAATTAGAAAATGTGGCAGTTAATAAGGTCTGTAACTCCCATATTCTCGAATTTAACAAGTATTAAATATTGTTTTAATAGGCTCACCCCCTATTAAATGGGACTCGTAACATAAATAGTGAAAAGTGGGTGTTACATTCTATAGTAGCATTAAGTGCCGTAATGTGCACCTCTGCCTACCTCTTCGGGGATAAAAAGCGTAATGTTATATAAAATATTTTTTTAATGACGTACAGTATATTAAAATCATATTTATATTTTTGTGAGACGATACGATATTAACCATGCTGAAATAACATTGGCCATAGGACTGGTCTATCGCAAGAAGTTTCATAGTCTTCTCTCTTTGACACAGAAACCCTCCGCTAATTCTATAAAGGACTAATGCTGTATGTATTTAAACAATAACTATTCATAAACACCTATTTTATTAATTCTTTCATGTACATTTTGTTCTTAACACTCATCTTCGCTACTTATTAACTCAAAAATGTCTGATTAAGAAAAATCTACAACATTTGTGCAAACAAAAGTAGTCTCAAAACTTCGGAAATAAGGTCTATAATGGAGCTGTCACCGGCGACCGCTTGCATCTTGATCAGTTGGTATACATATCTTACTCAACTATTAAAATGAGTGCATTGTTCAAATGTCATGAAGGTCATTCATGTTTTATTTCATGATTAGGGAGCACTGGTGTTCATTTAGGAGTGTCGATCAATAATTTTTTATTTGGGTTAGATTTTTTTAAAGAGATTTAATTAAATGATAGTATATTTAGGGATTTGCTAATTACTTGCTATATTTAATTAGGATGGTAAAATATTCTTCTAATTATTATGTTTTTTTGGCTTACTTATATAATTATTTGAGAACCAACTCGACTAGTTTCAAGCCATGCTAGAGGCTCATAATCATGAGCAGCATTGAACGACCCGCGACGCGTTCCTCGTCAAATATAATTACGTAATTAAGTCGAAAAACATAATGATTAATTTAGTATGTCTCGCGTTAGTTATAATATAAATTCTAAACTCCATAGTAGATGCTAGTAATAAAGATAAGATGATCGAATTGTATATGTAAGAATTAAGTTTTTTTTTTATGTATGGCAAGGCGTTAGTGTTGTTACATTATCGAACTATAACATTATTTATAATATCTTTTCACGACACGTTCTTATGATACCCTATTTAACTCTTCACCTATAAAAAAACATAAACAAATGGTGTTCCTATAAATTTCTATATGAACAATTTTCCAATTTTTTCAGTTATACTTTCACGGACTTGGCCCAAATGGTGTGTTCAGTCCGCACGGCCCGTGACGTAGACAACGACTCCTCGTCATCATCAGACTATGAGGAGGACCAGCGACATTTCGAAGGTTACGCCTCGGAGCCCAGCGCTGGGATACTCGAGGTAAGCATTAACTGATGTAGATTGTTCTGTATAGATTGTTTTTTTTTTCGGGGTAAACTCTGTCTGGTTTAATGAAGGTATTGTTTGATTCGTTTTTTAAAGTTTGTATATTCTCCAAGTATTGGTAGTTAGGTATATTTTTGGTATAAATCTGGTCAAGAATATTTTTTTAAATGTTGACTATACAAAAAGTAATATGTATTTTATTTGAGATTACTAGCTGTGATATCATGATAAGAAACCTATGAAAAATCCACAACATTTGTCCATACAAAAGTAGTCTCTAAATATCAAATATAAGGTCTATAATGGAGTAAGTGAAGAGCGGTCACCGGTGATCGCTTAAGGAATCGGCAGTTTGACATTGTATACCTTCATTACTGGACAGAGTTTTTTTAAATAAATTAAGTATGTTAAAACTACATATGAATGCTACCTATAAATGCTTCTAGAATATAATTATAAATATTGTAGTACCTAGTTACTCAAATAGTTGGTGATATTTGTTATTGAATGACTTGTGAGGTTTTTCTTTCATATTTATTTACCTTTATTTCTTTTGTAGTTATTTTATTTTATGGGTTAGTTGTGTGTGTGTGTAGACAAATCAGTTTAAGTACTAAATTACTTTTACTGGTTTCAGGGTGAAAGGCGTGCGGTATTTATTATCTAGTTTCACATATTTCGGTATATTTCTTATGTATAAATATTAAAATTTTCATTTTTGTGGACTGGCATACATATCTGTCATTAGAGTAGGTTTTTATTGAGTTTTTTTTTTCTGTATTTTAGTTGACTAGTTTTTTATGTGTGTGTATGAGTTTTTTTAACCTAACATTTTACCTACATGGATTTTCTGTGTCTAATAATATTTTTAAAGAAAAAACGTAGTATATACATATATGTATATATATTATAGGGTGTATAATAGTAATGTAAGTAATTTTAAATATTAATATTAACGGTATTACCTAGATAATGTTGTTATTGACTATTTGAAACCTAGACACACATTCTCGGTTGCCTAGTCGAGTAACATACAAATAGTAGCAATGACAAATGTACGACGGTTATTTGGGGATTGGTACGTCATAATCAGAGTTGACAGTCATAATAGAATTAAACTCTCATCTCTAAGAAGAGGATAAAAATGGCCAACACTGGTTTATAATGTGGTATTCATTGTTTCACTGCCTCGTTGGCTGAGTGGTCTAAATTGCGACTGCCTGGTAAGGGGTCTTTAGTTCGGGTTAAAAATCTCAGTCTGGAAATGTGCCCGGTATATGGCAATAAGTTCACCCCTATTACATCGGACTCATAACATGAATAGTTAAAAGTGGGTGTTAAATTTAATTATAAAGTGGCATTAAGTGCCGTTATGAGCACCTCTGCCTACCCCTTCGGGGATAAAAGGCGTGTTATGTTATGTGTTCATTGTTCCATTCAAAAATCTTCTTACCCTTATCTCAGGCACAAAAATGTCTCCTTTTTAAACTCCCCCATATCAGTCGTCTGCTAATATTGTTGGCACTTCTCAAAATTTATCCAATGTTACGCTTTAAACCTAGGTTTAATTACAAAAGCCTGTAGTCTGTTTTTATATATAGACCCTATTATTATTTTTGACCTACCAATTCCCCTATATATAACCTATAACTTATAAATAATAATATAGCGAAAATACATTCTAAAATTCGACCACGTATATATTCAGATGTCGTCCAGCGTAGAGGACGGAGCGGCCGCGTGGATCAGTGACACAGAATTGGTGGGCACTTATTGACTGCACCGCACTTTACTTATATACGGTTCACAGTTGATTTTTTTTATATAAAGGGGCTGTGACGTCACGGGCTTTCGGATTTCTGTGCTTGCGCTGGGTTTTTGAAGTCCTATTTTAATAACTACGGGAGTGACTTAAGAACCGACTAAGGGATTATACAATCGCCAGAGACCAGACAGACCAATTAAAACAATCAAGTTTATCAAAACCTGATTGTTTTAATTGGCGATTTCCAATCCGCCTGCTTAGTGCGTTATAAATAATTTTCAATTTTTACCTAAATGTGCTAGTATCGCATTAATTATTGCGCAGCATTTTGTGTTTTGAGGCGTCTATATACATGTTTTTAAGATTTTGTATAATTATTTGTATAAAATATCAATCTGCTATTAAAATAGGACTTCTAAGTAAACGAGGGTCTTTACTACATTATCTGTCTAATTTACAATTTCTTCTTTGCTTGTTAATTCTAATGGCAACTAATGCTACTAAATAGGTTTATGATCTTTCTTACTTAGTCTTCGGTTTCTGAAAGGATTCACATAACATTGTCACGGTGTATATTTTTCTGCCTCTTATTGCACATATTTTGTAATGCACCGTTGGTTGCTCTTTAAGAAAATTTTTTTTTTATTATACAAGGTGTAGTTTTGAAACCGTGACATTTCTCGGGGCCATGTCACAGAAGTCATAAAGGTTCAATGTAAGTGAAAGTTTCGGGCCAATAGTTAAAAATACGGCTATTAATAAATCATTTAAGTTCGACAGTTTTTCAGAATAAGCGACAGCAATGTTTCTTATTGGAGTTTTATGGAATTAGGAATAATATCAATTATGAATTTGAGTTTGTGTGTGTTAAGCCGCGTTATAAGTTACAAGACGGCGGCGTGTGGTTCGCACTTACGGTTTTCCGTAATTTATACAAAAATGAAAAATATTTATCTACAATTTTTTTAATTGATTCAGACTCAGAATCGATAGCCGAGTTACCTTCTAGAAAATGACGCGGCCTTAAAACAACATCTTGTATGACAGTCGGATTGCGTCGTCGGCCAAAATTTTTGGGTTCGAATCCCCCAGTCAGACATAGCGCTCTGGTGAATTTTTGATTTTGTTTTTTTTTAATATGCCCTACAGTCTGCAATTGAATTCGATTTGATAAAACCCAAATAATTATTTTTGTGTGAATTAATGTCTATATTATATGGCTGCCTCATTGGCCGAGTGGTCACAAGTGCGACTGCCGGGCAAGTGGTCTCGGGTTCGATTCCCGGGTCGGGCAAAGTATTATTGGGTTTGTAAAAACTTCAGTAGTAGCACGAAGTCCGGAATTGTGCCCGGTATATGGCAATAGGTTCACCACTTATTACATGGGACTCATAACATACATAGTGAAAAGTGGGTGTTACATTGTACAGTGGCATAAAGTGCCGTAATTTGCACCTCTGCCTACCCTTTCGGGGCTAAAAGGCGTGATGTTATGTCATGTTTATATGGCAAGAGTTCGCACAAAATTGAACCTCACATTGATATATATGTAGTTGATGTTTTTGTTTATCTTTTCCTGGGTATATGCATGCGGTTATTCGTAGTCTTTGTACCAATTAATATTTTTTATAGGTTCTTAATTTGTTTTTAACCATATTTGTAGTCAGCATTGCATTTTTATACGTATGTCCTGGTAAAATAAAATTGTAATTAATTATAACGTTTTTGCTAACACTATATACAATTAAGTAGTTTGATTTAATTTTTGGTTTTTATTTAATACATTTACCTCGTTTGCACTGAGTATTTAATTTATATAGTGTTAGAAAAATGTATAAAATTCATTGTTTGTCAATAAAATACACAACTAAATATTTTATTAATTTTATATCTATGTCGTAACTAAATTGATATATGTACACCGTGAAATCTATTTCGTTTTCGCCTCGCAGCAAAATATACGTGGCATAAGGAGTCCTTTCGATGTATAAAGTAAAAACAAATAATAAAAAAAATGTATTTTGAGTTTCAAAAAAGTTTTCATGGAAATACGCACATGAAACACTAGACGTAACTTTGTATGCGCTATTCGCATCTCACGTGACATCCGACGAGAAATACCTCTTCAAGTATTACATGTTTTGATAATGTACTATGAGTTCGTATGCGCTTTCGAAGTTTGCTTTTTGCAATGGTTCACCAGTTATTGTTCAAAAATCAAAATTCATTTATTCACATTTAAATAGAGTTATTACATTTGATGGTTTTTATGTTACATCCTTTGTTCTTATAGTCTATTTAGCCTGCTTAGGGCATCTGAAGTTAAGTGCATTTAAAAAAGGAAAGGAATGGTTGTTTGTTTTAAACATTTTATTTATTTATGAAACTATTGTATTACCAAGATAGAACCATTTTAATTCGGGACGAAAACGAAATAGATTTCACGGTGTATATACGAATTGTATTTCGTACTAATGATGTATTTCATTGTGAATTTGTGTACTAATTCTATCTACAAACAGTATAAACTAACACTATAAACTCTAAATAAAATAGTCAGCCTAAAATAGTTATAAATGTCGCTATGTTAATGCAACAGAAAGTGCAAGATTTTGACATTGCTAATATTAACTACTTATTCGTAAGGAAATTATGATTGAACATCAATTAAAACCTTTTTTAAAATATGTGAAAATTTTGCACATCCTTTAATTTTAACTAAAATCCCATTTTAATTTGATCACCACAAATTACTGTTATAACATTCAGTATCTAACTAAAATAACAACTAAAAATATCCCAAAATAAAAAATTAACACGAAAATATCAATTTACAGGAAGGTCTGCGCACGCGCAGGGTAGGTGGCTCCCTCTCGTTGTCGGAGGACGAAATCGACTCGGAGGCTGAGGTCTATGACCCTCTGAACAAGCGAGGAGGAGGTAGGTGAGACCCGACCTTGCACGATCTGTGCAAAGCCCTCTATGAGTACGTTCAGTACACAGACTCCTGCGCTGAGTAACGGGATTCCTGAAATTTCTGGATGCAGGAGTTTTCGAAGACTGTGCGTGTAAAAGTGTATCAAAGAATTATAAACCTTAATAACCACGTAATAAGGTTTATTTGTAAATTAGGAACTTTATTTTAATAAGACTGCGGCGAATGGTAGCTCTATATACAGAGTGTGGTAGAAATGTAGATGTTACTGTCTGTATGTTTGTACGTTTATTGGTGAAATGTTCAGAACAAAGACATGTTTATGTGCTGTATACATTAGTTGTATTGTATATATTAAAAACATTACCCTCCTTCTTTGGCAGTCGGGTAATTAAAAATATATAGTGAAGCTGAAACTAATGATTTTATCGACTATACTATCTTTGTCTTACTCGCACAGTCGTAAGTCAGTCCTGCAAGACAAGGATGCAAATATAGTTTAAGTTTCTATTGATTATATTTATAATATGAATATTACTATAGAGACTTATATTATTAAGTTTGTCTCTGTCATATATGTTCGATTTCTTGTCTTGCAAGAGAGAGATGTCTATATAGTACTACAATATCTTATTCATTCTATGTGTGTGTAAAAAGGGGGATACAAGTTTATATAAAAAAGTAAATTAAATTATTACTAGAGCAAAGCATCTTAATTGTTTAGTAGAAAATATTATCTTAAGTCTCAGGTTCGATTCCTGAGTAAGAAAAACAATTTTCGAAATTCTCAGTAATTCGTGTAGATAGTATCTGGAATTATGTCCAGTTTAGTTATTATTGTATAAAGAAATTGTTTTGTTTTGTGGTAAGTTTGTATTGTAGATGTGTAAACGAATTAAAATATAATGTATAGTAAGTAGTTGTCGTTCATAGAAAAATATATGAATACTAACACATTGGAAAATATTTAGATTTATTTCGCTGAAGGAATGAATTTGCAGCCTATAGTATGCAGCACCGCCCTCCCTCTCGCTCATAGATAAACGCTCATGCAGCAGAGATACCACACAAAACAACACACGACACGCAACAAATCACTCGACATATATTTTGCTGATCCACGGAGCATCTTCAGGGCGCTTACTCTTGAAACCAATCTCAATGTCAATGCAATTTCAATCCAATATGATCTCAATAATTATTAAATGTCAACACTATACAACCACAATCTTAGCTGTTACAATAGCATTCAGAGTACGGAATATAAAGACAAACTCAATACCATTTAGTTCATTCAATATCTACGCAATACGGATGCAATGGGCTCTAGTATTGCAACTCAAGAGTACGAAATTTCACAATACCAATGTCGATCGATCGGAATTGGATTCAAGAGTAAGCCCCCAGGAGTCGTTGATTCGGCGGCTCCCGAGGCTTGATATGTATGAACGTTTAACCGGGCGAGAGGGAGGGCGGTGCTGCACATCATCAACAGCATATAAATGCCCACTGCTGAGCAAAGGCTCTTCTCACACGGAGAAGGTTAGAACATTAATCACCACGCTTGCTCAATGCGGGTTGGCGATTACAAACTTATAATTAGAAGTTATAAGCCTAGGTTTCCTCACGATGTTTTCATTCACCGTTTGTCAGTGGTGTCTAAATAATCTTAGAAAGTACATACCTATAATTCGGAAAAAGTCACATTGGTACTTGCCGTTGGTAGGTTTCGAACCCGCACCCTCGTGCATGAGAAGCGGGCATCTTAAACCTCCGGGCCACCACGGTGCTGCACACTGCACATTAATTCTTTTAATGGAATGAAAACTAAATATTTTCCCAGCCGTTAGAGTAGCATTGATTTTCGCCAAGTAACGCCTGAGTCTATTCTATATATATGAATACTTTATTTCTCTGTGTTAAAACAAATAGCTGAGTTTTAGCAATGGGTATAAAATTGATATACTTCGGTAATAACAATTATCACATGATTATTTCCAGTTGATTTTGAGTTGAGTCTCAGCTTTATTTATTCAAAATTTTTGAGTGTATATTGTGTATATAATTATGTATTATAAGTATATGTATAATATATAGCAGCGGGTCAACCCCGAGAAGGAGAGACCTCCACGTACTAGTATAACAGCGGGAATATATGCAATACTTCTAAGTAGATAACACAAATAACTAATATAATACACTCAAATTGTACCCTTAAAGAACAAAACTAAACATTTTAAAATATACCGTATTGCTTAGGAAATAAAGATGCTTCTACATACTTTATTATCTTATTCTTTTGGATACAAATTAGGTAATATCGTTACTGATACAGACATAAAAATTAATATTGAAATGAAAATCCATGTAACAATGTACTTCCAATATGATATCGCAAACAAAATAAAAACTTTGCTACTGCATACTAATTGTGATATGAGTAACCTAATAATAACCTTATATCAACGCAATTAGGTTTAGATTAGATTAAAATTCGTATTACGGAACCCAAGTGAGATATGATACAAATATAGAATAATTATCATAATATTCCAGTATTCGATGCAAACAATTTAACCCGTGGTATACCGGAACGTGGATCTATGCGACATACAATGTATTTTCTATTATGTCTCGTATGTCTCATTCAATGGTTAATGCATGTAACAAACAATATGAATAGACAATATACAATAGCAGTGCATTTTATAGTTGCCTTTACAATAATCACAGGATATAGTCATCATCATTATCATCAACTCAACAGCCTATACATGACCACTGCTGAGCAAAGCCTCTTTTCACACGGAGAAGGAGCATTAATCACCACGCTTGCTCAATGCGGGTTGGCGATTACAAACTTATAATTAGAAATTATAAGCCCAGGATTCCTCACGATGTTTTCCTTCACCGTTTGTCAGTGGTGTCTAGATAATCTTAGAAAGTACATATAACTCGGAAAATGTCACATTGGTACTTATTAGCGAGAAGCGTCTTATTAAACATCCGGGCCACCACGACATAGGATATAGTGTAGTTAGAATAGGTAGACTTATGTCAAAATATTCAAACACCATTCAGTTTTTAAGTCGCGCTTAAGTATAGTTCTGTCAATACAAATTCTTTGAAAAATGACAGAGTTCGCACGATATTTAAGTGCAATTCAAAACTAAGTGGCCCTAAATCTCGTTTTCTCTCGTTCCCGTCGGATTTTCAGGATTTTTTTCTGTCACAAGAACCTTATCCTGACAATAACAAACACAACAAAAAAAAAATCAGCCAAATCGGTCTAGCCGTTCTCAAGTTTTGGCGTGCAACGGGAAATGAGTTTCACATTTATATATAGATAAAACATCAAAAATTCACACAAAATATTAGGAGTATTAAATGCTTATTTAGGGCGCCCTCTACATAGTGTCCCATTCATATCAAGTCTATCCCATACTCAACTACCTGTGTACTTCTTTCGTAACTTAGCTTTCATCCATCTTTATGTTCTTTTTTGTTTTTTGTACTTACGCATAGTCTTATAGTCCAGGCACTTGATACCTTGGTCAAAATTATCATGAGACTTCACTGCATTCAGCATTAGTCTCCATAGCAAAATCCTGATTTGCATATTTTATTTTATTAGATTAGTACATTTTGTGCGTAGCGAACCTATATTATGTTATATTTTTATATTACCGGGCTTCTCAAAATAGCCTCATTTCTTTTTATTATAATTATCGAGTGAGGTGAGAGTGAGACATACTTAATCAACTAAAACAGTAGTTTGCGTGACATCACCGCGACCGCGTTCACTGATCATGAGGAAGAACCCCTCTGTGGTACGAAAATAGTAGGGCTTTTCTCAGTATATTCACGTGAGTAACCCGCTAGTTTTAGTTAATTTAGCCTCATTTGTAATTTTAATCCATATAAAATAAAATAAAATTACTAGTTTTGCACAAACAATTAAGCATATTAAAAAGTTTATCGACACATACAGACTGTTATATAAAAATTATATTACTAAATAGCACACAAGGCAAGGAATAATATTAAATAGTACTAAAAATAATTACCTATACATATATAGCCTCTTAGGTTAGCTTGTAAAGCTTAACATATTAAAAGCTAGGCTAATTTAGCTCGCTTAACATTTTTTTATATAACGTTTTTCTTAAAACAAAGATATTATTTAAGTCTGCAAACTCCAATGTAAATATAAATTGTCTTGAAAAAGAGTATAATGTTAATTTTCTATACAATTATTAATTATATTTAGTTTTATTAGTTCGTATCACATACGTTTTATTATTTTTGTTCGAGGTAATTGGTTTTGTCTTATTATTCAGGTGTTGAATATAAAAATAAGATTTATGTTTATTATTCAATCGTTGAATAAATTATAGTTTGTTCCTCTTTATTACTTTTATATAGGTGCTTCCAAGACTTGTTTTGCCTTTTTACTTGATCAAAAATTAATAAAGTTGTTTTTTTTGCAAATATTTAAACCAAAAATTCAAACCAGTTAAAACTTAAGTGATAAGTGCCATTATATGTCTTCTGTTGAAATACATAAAGATGAGAATCCCTCGCAAATTGTTTGAGTGAAAATTGTGATTTTGCTTGTCGATAATTGAAACGTTTACCAATGAATAACGTGTGTGTATAATAATTTAGTTTATATTGTATATTACTATAATATTAATAACATTTTCATTCATCAATCATCGTCATTCTGATTTATACTGCACTTTTATTACGAACAGTAATATGTACACCACTAGTATCGATAAAACATCGATAAAATCCTGTAACTGTAGATAATAACTTATTATTTAGTCTCTCCGACTGAATGTAGCTTTAAGTACGCCACGAGGCACAAAAATGTGTTAAAAATAAAAATAAAAACCAAAATGTCTAGCTCAAATATTGTAATTCACATGATTTATGGAATAAATGCTTATTATTATTAAAACATTCGAGTATCATTCATATTTGCGGTTACCCTGTTTACTCAGACGTTCGATTACAGAACATGATGTATATGTTCAAGTGAGAGTAAGTAGAGTGTTCGATTTCCCACCTTATCCAGAAGACCCATAAGGTTTCAAATCCATTGTTTTCAACAAATGTTCCTTAGTATCCCTGACGCGTTGTAAATAGTTGGGCACAGTGACAGAGTCAACGTAATCTCCTTTATCATTCTTTACAGTCTCCGTACCATCAATGTACCTCGTTCTGTAGTTATGTGAGACGTCCAGGCCGTACTTCCTCGGCTCCGTGCTACCGTCCCACTGCTCAGGAGTACGGATCTTTATCCCTTCTTCAATGTATTTGACTAAATTACCCTTCATAAATCCCCTGACATCAGGGCTGTCGCACATGTTGATCAGAACCTGCATCGCTCGCAGTTGCAGCGCTGGGATGTCGTGCACTATGCATAGGTATACTAAGCGTCTGCTAAGACTGTATATGAACTCTTTCGCCCGCCATTTAGCTCTTGTCGTTACTGTAGTATACGCCATCAACCCTAGGGCGCTGATGATGATATTAACGTTGTCAGAATCTACGTACGGTATCAGGAACCGTGTCAGGTCGTACTTGTCCGCTAGTTTCTGCCCCACCACGTGTTTGCAGAGGTGCACTAGACAGTTGATCGCTGCCTCTGTGATCCTGTCTTCTTGATATAATATCAACTTTAGCATTACTTTAAACGCGTTAGCTTTCAACGGCTTCTCAGGGTTCCATTCAGCCAAGTGCGTTAGTGTCTCCAAATGTATCAGAACAATACCTTCGTGATCGTGTTTAATCATTTTGATGAGGTTCTCGACTACTTTTTCGTTTTTTATAATAGTTTCTGCTTCTGATCGGGCGAGGGTTTTGAGACACCGCGCTGCAGCGTAGCGGATTTCTTTGCGGTCTCTCATGAATAGAAACATGAGATGATTTATGACGATTGGCTTGGCCATGATGCGGGCCCTGGCTTGGTAGTAGTTGCCGAGTATCGTGAGGATGAGACACACCTTCTCCCGGACGATGGGGTCCTGGTCTGGCAGCAGATCTATAAGCTTGTTTGTCGTATTCAAGCTTACAAGGAACATAGCGTTCTCGGATATTTGTACCTGCCGACAAAATTTTATTAAGAAAAGAAATACAAACATGAAAAGTGCAACAAATAAAACTGACAATGATCGCTTCCAGTCATTATTAACTTTAAAAATATTATTATTATTACGTGATCCAGCAAAGAATGTATAGCTCGCAGCTTGATGAAGTTGTCTTCAGAGTTGATGTCTCTATTGATGTGACGTAACCCCAGACGTTCGAAGCCCAAGGTTGCCCTCGTGATGTCGGTACAGGGACCGAACAGCGATGGCTGCATCGACGTCATTCTTTGGGCAGTGGGGGTTTCTGGACAAAAGGGGAAAGTATTATTAGTTACAGAAAAGTTTACAAATATTTTACAAACACTTAAGGCCAATAGGAATTAATTACCCGAATGGCAACCTCTTCCCGCGGGTATAATAAGTTTATTAAGGGACTTTCAGTGTGGGAAAGCCATGCTTCAGTACGAATGGGCCGGCTCGACCGGAGCGATACTAAAAGAAAACCTCACAGAAAACTGACGTGACACAACGTTTCGTCGTGTCAGTGAGGTTACCGGAGACCAAAATACCACCCTCCCCAGTCTCCCCATTCCTCGAATTCCCCACAATCCTCAATTTCCCAATTCCCAAAACAAACGGGTAACGCCTCTGGTATTTCAGGTGTCTATGGGCGCCGATTGCTTACCATTAGGTGATCCATCTGCTCGTATATCGCAAAAAAAAAAACAATTTATCAGGAACCGAGCCGAAGCGTTCTGTTATAAACCATTTTAAACTGCGAACTCCAACCCGTTTGCCAAGCGTGGAGATATGGCAAACCTTTCTTTTGTAGAAAACTCCAGGAGTGGACTCTCATGGATTGACGATGGTGGTGATTGTTTTATCAATATCTTTTTCTTACCATCATGAGGATCAAATTGAGTTTTCCGCATCGCACGACGCACCGCTTTGTTGACTAGCGTCGGGTTTACAGACGTCTGCAGTTGAAGATACGAGTTTTTATTAGCGCTAAACATTTTGTTATCTATTTAAATATATTTTCGAAAACTTAAGTAAATTCCACTATAAATGTAAATAAGTTTCCCTGTCGTACGCAAGTCCGACGATAATATTTAAATGTTATTATTTTCAATGCAATTTAAAATTAACTGTTCTTGTGTACTTTTGACAGTTATCGATTTTGACAGTTCTAGCTTCAGGGACTGACATTTTTTAAAAAAAGTCTTCAAGCCAGTTGAAAAAAAAGTTGCAATTTTTATTCGAAAAAGGGTTTATTCGAAAATATTTTGTTGATTACGAAGAGGTGTGTCTTTTATTCAATGATGCATTCAATTAATTACCTACTAATACAACTTAAGATACTTTTGTTGATTGATGACTGCCTCGTTGATTGATGGCAAGAGGTATCGGGTTCGATTCCCAGTTCTGACAAAAGTTTAATTGGTTTTTAAAAATAATCAGTAGTAGCACGGTGTCTGGAATGTGGCCGGTATGGGCTCACCCCCTTTTACATGGGACTCATAACATAAATAATGAAAAGTGGGTGTTACATTGTATAGTGGCATTAAGTACCGTAATGTGCACTTATGCCTACCCAGGCATAGGTGCTGCACTGATGTCGTGTCACCGCCAGTTCTCTTATTATTCTAAAGAAAAAGAGATGGGAATACGTACAATATGTTTCAATGTATTTTTGTACCTCTAGATTTAGCATCATCGCTTCTCACCAGGCGAGATAGTGGACAAACGTCGGCCCATTAAATAAAAGAAAAAACAAAAAAGCCACAATCAATATCAATCTGCATTTATATTATTATTTTCGATACCTAAAAGGGGAAAAAAATAAAGAAGATTATTGCATTACAACGTTTATTTAACAAGGCATTAATGAATACATTATGAACTACTAAAGTGAGTGAGTAAGATTGCAGAGGACATCCGAGTGAAATCCAAATCATCATGAGGGTTCTTTGGAAAGATCATCGAATAACTTCTCTCGCCCCGGTGAGGCGAGAGAGTCCACACGACTCCGGTACTTCGTGTAAAATAAGCATTATAATTAAATATTATGTAGGTGTATATGGACCAAGACGCCTGAGACAAATATATAAAAAAAATAATAAAAATAAAGCTAGGAGAAATCCCAAGATAAAAACACGTAAAGAATTTCATATTTCACGTAACAATAAAAATATCATATATAAGGGTAAGTATCCATTATTTTTAACAATCTCATCTTTGCTTCACGGATACGTCTCCAAAAGCTGGTCAAGGTGACAGGACGCACACCGTCACCGTAATCTTCCTCAATCGTCTTGACACCTTCTATGCTCATAGTTTGGTAGTTTACCCCAGTTTCATAGCCAAATGTGCTAAACTCCGTATAACCGTCCCAGGACTCATGTGTCTTAACCTTTATTCCTTGGATCTTGTCCTTCCAGATGTACCTAATGTGCTCTCTTATGTCGTTACAATCGCACAGGTTTATCAGCACTTGCAAACATCGCAACTGCAACGACGGTAGGTTACTCGCCACGGCCAAGGTCACCAATCGCTGGATCATGTCCCATTGGAATTGTTTGCACCGCCATTTCGACATATCCGTCAGTGTGAGATAGTGCAACAAGCCCGCAGCGCTGATCATCACTTCCACATCAGACGCCAGTAAGTACATCCTCATCTCCTTTAACATGTCATGCTGGTCAGCTAATTTCTTACCGACTTTATGCTTGCAAAGCTGCGTCATGCATTCCATAGCAGCGACAACAATCCTGTTATCGTGAATTTTCATAAAATGCCACATTATTTGAAACGCATTGGCTCTGAGAGGTCTCTCTTGATCGTAATCCATCAATTTTCTAAGAACATTCAAAAGATATACGACAATATCTGTATGATCATTGCACACTACTCGCAAGAGTGTTTCTATAATTCTATCATTTTGCAAAATCTTTTCGCAAGTGCATCTGTCTCTAGCTAGAGTTTTAAGACAGAGAGCTGTCACGTAGCGTATCTCTTTACAGTCGTTCCACAGTATGTCGATGAAGTGATCGATGATGACTGGCCGTGCCATGATGCGCTGCTTCCCCTGGTAGTAGTTAGATAGATGAGTGAGAATTAAGATAGACTTCTCTCGAATCATGGCGTCGGTGTGAGTAACTAGATTCACAACATTATAAATAACATTCAAATCTAAAAGATGTAGGGCGCTGTCTGTTTCTTGAACCTGTAAAATTAAGACTAGACATAACATTCGTTTATTACGTTCACTATATTAATATAGGTTTTGAAGTTACCTTGTCTAAAATAGTGTGGACAGCTTGTGATTGAATTATAGGATCATCTGAGACGAGTTCTCTCGCAACAATGCGAAGGCCGGGGCGGCCATAGCCGAGATGAGCTTGCGTGATGTCCACCCAGGGAGCAAATAAGGACGGCTGCATGGATTCTAGTCGCCGGGCTGGTGGTAAATCTGTTACGTGAGAAAAATGGTTGACTTATGATGTGTAGTGTATCATTAGATAAACTGAATGTAACATTTCGTAATGTAAAATTAACATTAGAAGACAATACACTATTTTATTTAGTTTTCTGATATTTACCCTATATTTATCTTACATACATAACATCACGCCTTTTACCCTCAAAGGGGTAGGCAGAACTGTACATTATGCCACTGTACAATGTAACCACCCACTTTTCACTATTTATGTTGTGACTCCCATGTAATAGGGCCTATTGCCATTGCCATATACCGGGCACAATTCCAGACTCTGTGCTACTACTGAGAATTTTTTAAAAACCCAGTAATACTTTGCCCGACCCGGGAATCGAACCCGAGACCCCTTGCCCGGCAGTCGCACTTGCGACCACTTGGCCAACGAGGCAGTCTTCTTACTACTTTTTTTCCTTTCATAAGTGGTTTGATGGTGAAATTAATATAGAATATTTTTATACAATAGCAACGCTTGCTAAATGATGTTCTTATATAAATACTTCAGTTCCTTTAGGTTTTGTTATGCAGAGTATATTTTTATATAATGGCAACACTTGCTAAATGATGTTCGTAAATAAAATGCTTGCTAGATATTATTAAAATATTATTTTGTATATGTTTTAATAAGTTAGTTATTATTTTTATTTTATTTAAATACTTTTACAAAAATATGAATGTTTTAGTTAATTAGTAAATTATTTGAGTGAAGCTCATTTATGATGAATTGATGTTACACACTTTTGGCGGGAATTGAAAAAGTTCGGTCGATGGTTTCGACTTAAATTGTAAAATTATATTAAATAAATTATTGAAAGTCGTTACGAGTCTTATTTCCTGGCCCTAATAATAGGTTGACTCTATTAAATGTCTTACCATTGTCAGGGACGATTAGAGTTTTTCTCATAGCGCGCCGCACAGCCTTATTGATCAGCCGTGGCTCCATCGGGATCTCACGCTGAAGGTATGAATTCTTTTGCGGACAGAACATCTTGCCTTATTCATTCAAGCTTGAAATCTATGAAACTAAAATAAATTGCGTATGTATAAAACTAGAATTAGGTGGATAACATTAGACCCCGCCTGTTAATCATCTATGGGGCAGGCAGAGGCGCACAAATTACCCATACGCAACACTCACTTTTCAACAATTATTTTATGAGATTTATGAACAAAGTTATCTTCAAAACTAAATAATTTCACAGTTGAATTCAGTTCCTTTAAATCGCATCTGGTTGAATGATTTGTATAATAATATAATCAAAGTTTGAACAATCTATGGTATGAACGATTGTTGCAAAATAAATATGACACATTGTCATCGAAATGATTGACGTATTTTTTATTTCAACGTCCTTAGTTTTTCTTTTACAAATACTTTTTAAGGAGGTTATATATATTAGCAGTAACCATTGTGATAGCGAAAGAAGAAAAAAATATTTCGTGACCTGGTAATCTCTGCAAAGGATCTCTGCGTTAATGAACCGACCAATTTACAAAAAGAAAACAATATATAAAAACAAATAATATAATATAGCTTCAAAACAAGATTATAACAGACTTAGAAAAACTGACTTTTATTGTTAGAAGTGGTTAGAAGCGCTATTGTAATTAGAAGTTCTTTAGCTTAGTAGGATGTAGCATTCATAGCCTTTACTAGATTGCGCATCGCATTGCGAATCCGTCCAATATAGCTGCTTGGATCTCCGATTTCTACATCACTACCATACTCGTTCTTTATTATATCCACCGGTTCTATGCTCATAGTCGCATAGTTCAGGCCGGTCTCCTCACTAAACGTAGTAATTTCTGAAGTATTTACGAAGACTTCGTCAGGAGATATCTTCACTCTGTGCACTAGCTTTGCAAAGGAACCCCAAGTATTTTTGACTTCAATCCTCATATCGGCATTGTCGCAAAGGTTCATCAATACCTGCATAGCTCGCAGTTGTACCAGTGGCTGGGTCTGCGCATATGTAAGCCTCACTAGACGTTTCACGAGTTTATAACCAAATTCTTTTACTCTCCATTTAGACTTCACTGTGATTGTCGTATACTGCAGCAATCCTAATGTGCTATTTATCATTTGTACGTCTTGTACATGGATGTAATGTAACAGTAATTTGTTCAAGTCATAAGAGTCTGCGAGCTGCTTCCCAATCTCATGTTTGCAGAGCACTGCCAAGCAATCCATTGCAGCTTGCTCCACTCTGGTCCGATTGAACACTAGTAGACTTGTTAGCACTGGAAATGCCTCCGCTTTCAGCGGCGGGACAGGGTTCCAGTTTGATAAATATTTAAGCGAATTCAAATGGTAGATCACTATTTCCATGCAGTCGTGTTTTATCATTTTGAGGAGGCTCGCGATAACATTGTCATTTTTCATGATTATTTTACAGGCGCATCTGTCTCTGGTCAGAGTTTTAAGGCATAGTGATGCAGCATATCTGATCTCCTTGCGGTCATGCATGATTATATTTATAATATTATTAAGAAAGACTGGATGCGCCAGGATGTTCATCTTGCATATATGAGTGCTTGCTAAACGGGTGAAAATAACAGCAACTTCTTCTCGTACGATTGGTTCTTTATCCGTCATCAAGATTATTAGTTTATGTACCATGTTCTTTTCTATGAGATATAACAGATTTTCTGGATATACTACCTGTTAAAGAAAATGTTACCTTAATTCATTACTGCCATCGATTAGGTTTGCTTGGCAATTACAATGTCTAACCTAATAATGAAATCAGTTGTTCGAGTTTAAAGTTAACAGACACCTGATCAAGTAAGGCATGAACGGCTCGCTGTTTTGTCAAGTTGTGATTTGAACTAAGGTCCTTTATAAGGTTGTCGAGTCCTGATCGTCTGAAACCCAGTGTTGCTACCATGACCTCCAAATTTGGGACATTGAGTGACGGCTGGGTCGACTCCTCTTCTGAAATATTAGGAAATATTCTAAATATGCTTTGTACTCTAACCTTGTAATCTAAAATCGAGAATATCAATGTACTTTTAAAAATTATTCATAAATTATTATTTTATTTTACCACTAAAAGAATAGAAACTTAATTGCCTACAAAAAAGTGACAGATGTTCAGCACTGGATAGCAATAGGTGACGATGAAATTGAAACTTATTATAATTATAAGGTACCATTTTCGTATTTACTGTGTAGTTTCTGTCGCATGGCACGTCTCATAGCCTTATGTATAACTCTTGGATCCACTGGACATTCCATTTGGAGGTACGAGTTCATGGCGTGGTTGAACATGCTTACAAAATAATAATACAATTGCTTGAAAAATGTAAATGAAATATATTATGTAGAAATGATTATATAATAATATAAATGCTACAAAATAAATCACTTTCAAATGTAAATGTCATTTTGGCAGTTTGCGACTATAGCGGTATTGCAACTTTAAAATAATGTGGGTATAATTAGTAACTATTTTTAAAGAACATTTTTTTCAATAAATATGTTTGTTTGAGTAATTTTGAACTTGAGTTGTCTACGTTTGAGCTCTGCCTGTCGATGATAATGGTGGTGATCACACATGATCACAGATTGAAATCAAATTAAATTTATCATTTTAGAATTCCCTAAAGTTCTATGAGGTTCGGAGAGTTTGAACGAGATGACAATTGTCGTTACCTATTTCCGAATTTATAACAAATATGTTTTCCATTAATTTACATACAATTAAATTAAAAAAGAACATAAGTTAACAATAACATTAATATAATAGTAATAATTAGCTTATTAACAAAATTATGTACTAAAATCTTAATAAAGAAATAGATGATACCTTTTTTTAAAGAATATCAACCATCAAAGAATACACATGTGTCTGGAATACACATTACACTTCCTCATTTTCCTCATTCATAGCTTTGAGAAGATTCTCCTTTAATTGCTGGATGTGTCCCGAGTAGCTATACGGGTCCGTAACTTCAGCATCAGGGCCATAGTCTTGCTTCACCGTATTCAATTCTTCTACACACATAGTCGTGTAATTGTAACCACACACAAGATTGTATGAACTACACTCCGTTCTACCGGCAAAATGCTCAAAAGGAAATATCGGAATGTCTTTGTTCGTCATAACTGTGTCCCAGTATGTTTTAACTGCGATCCTAATGTCACTACAGTCGCATAGGTTCGTCAGTACTTGCAAAGCTCGGAGTTGCAGCACTGGCCAGGTATGCGACTGAGCAAGAGTAATCAGCCGGTCAATAAAATCGTATGCAAATTGTTTTGCACGCCATTTCGAGTATGTCGTCGTTGTGATATACTGCAGCAGGCCCAGTGTGCTCACGACCACCTGTATGTGTGGAGACAGCAAGTAATTGAACAACAATTTGGTCATATCATGCTTGTCCGCCAGCCGCTTCCCTACGTTATGTTTACAGAGCTGCGTCATCACATCTATTGCGGTTCGTACCACTCTGATCTGATCATAATGATTAAACATGAGGAGCTGCTTCATCACCTGAAATGCGTTTGCCTTCAGAGGCCTAACAGGGTCCCACTCAGAGAGATTTTTCAACGAGTTCATGTGGTGTAGCACTATCTCCAAGTAGTCGTCTTTTATCATTTTCAGTAGGATTTCGACAATCCTTTCGTTTTTCATAATTGCTTCGCAAGCACATTTGTCTCTTGTTAGAGTTTTGAGGAATAATGATGCGGCATATCTGACCTCCTTGCGGTCGTACGAGATCAACTCAATAATGCGATCGATGACAATTGGCCGCGACAAGATCTTCTTCCTGCCGATATCGTATCTTGCTACAAATGTCAGCAGTATTGAAACCTTTTCTCTAATTATGGGATCATTGTCCAACAGCAACTGTATAAGCCTGATGACGACATTGTTCTCGATGAGATACAGAGCGTCTTCTGGTATTAATATCTGTTTAGAAAAGAAATATTTCATTGGTGAAATCAATAATGTTTAGGAAGGCAGGAACAGGAATGTGCTGTGCAATGTTTTTGTGGTGTTTACCTGGTTTAGAAGTGTATGCACAGCTTGCACTATTACTAATTGTGATGCAGAGCTGAGGTCTCTGATGAGGTTCTTGAGTCCGAGGCGTCCGAAGCCATGTCTTGCTTCAGTGACGTCAACGAAATGGGCCGACAGAGATGCCTGAGTGGATTCTAGTCTTTTAGCTGGCCGTAGTACTAGACCGAAAATGCTGTCTGCAATAACACAATAGAGACATTGAGTGATTAAACTTTTTAGGAGGAACCTACAGAAACAATATTTATGGTTACATACATGAATATAATGCAAGTTAAAGTATGTTAGGGTTATAGAAGGCGTACGCTACTGGCACTGTTACACATGATAGTTTCAAGCATAAAACATAGATACTTCAATTGAGCACTTGTCACTAATGTGTGTAGGAATGTTGCTCAAAATTAGCATGCTCATTTCGGGCATGCTTGCGAATAAGCAGGCGTTAGATTTTTTAATTTTTGAGAATGCTCAATACAACATTTGTTAGCATTTTAGAGTATGTGGAAAAGTACCTTAATTCTAGTTGTTTGCGAACGCTACTAAGGGATAAGGGGTGAGCTTAGGTATGTATATAAGATACATATGAATCAGAAGATATTACCTTCGCCCTCCAAATAAGTTAGCTTTTTACACATGTGGCGTTTCACAACCTTGTTGATAAGTCGAGGGTTTAATGGACATTCGATTTGGAGAAACGCATTCCTGTGCGGGTTAAACATGATTAAAAACTAATATTTATTAGAAAAGTAATTGCTTTTATTAAAACGTATATAAACAATTATAAATTATGAGTGATATTTTCCTTTCAAACATTGAATACGTCTAAAACCTTTTCATTGACAGTTTGTTGCAAGATTTCTCTATGGGCTTGTGTTTCTCAAAGAAGAATTTAATTACGTCGGTTCAAGCACCGTAACAAGGTGTGATTACTAATGGCAAAAAATCAGAAATATTTTCAGACAGGCCACAGACTTTGTCCGGTTCAAAGTTAAGTTCAGGAGGTTGCTTGAGGCTTAGGCCGTGCACGTTAGCGTGTTGCCGGGGCTCCGGCTCGAGAAGTAGGAGTGGGAACAGGGTGGTTTTTAGTTAGCAAGAGTCTGAAATTCCCTCTTGCCTAATCCAAGGCGGGAGAAGCCATTGGATGATATTCGCACAAAAAATGTTTATTATTACCAGAGAGATCACAATTTTTTACATGTAAATGTTTTAAAATGTAAAAAGTTCAGTAGGTTTTTCTTTTATCTGCAAGGAGCAGCCACTTTTTTTTTGGCTTTAGTTTGGCATAGTTTGGCCACCATGTCATTGTCATGATGCCTTCATGTACCTAGGACTTGTAAGGTCATCAGTAGATTAGTTTCGTCGAGCCTTCAAAACGATGATTTGAAGTAAATTAAAAGCACGATAAGGTAAAATTGTAAGAATCTTATTTTATGTAATTCATTACGGTGCAACATAACAGTTAATTCTTCACAATGATCTTATATAACTATAAGTTTGTTCATTTTCTAGGGTAGGGGACTCTAAACCCTTTCCTCCTGCATTTAGTGTCGACAATTAGTTGCGCCTGTCTCTTCAAGTAGCACCTTGATGGGATGTCTTCTTCATCTTCTGAAGCTGAAAAAAATATTAAAACATTTCAATTACGTTTATTATTGTATGACGCATTTGTATATGGAGAAATGTAGAATAACGAAAGATAGTACAGTGGTCTACTCATATTAACCGACGAGCATGCATGAAAAGATTGATGACTGTTAATGAAGCGAAAGAGGTATGTAAGAATCGTAGTAATTGGCGTTCCTTAGTCTCTGCCTACCCCCATGGGAGGCAGGCGAGAAGTTATGTATGTATGTATGTGTCTAAGCGTGGGTCCACGCGAGACACAATGTATTTCTTTTATCGTTATCGTTAAAAGTTTTATCTCATATCGTTAAACCTTCATCATAGTAATATTGTATACTGGAGGGATATACCTATCATATGCTGTGGCCAAAAATAAACTCGCTTTTAAGTTTATTTGCTTTTAATCCAAGGATACAATAGGGGACAGTTATCCTGCGGCTTAGGTCGCCAGTAACCTTTGGTGAAGTACCGCGACGTTGCCTAACTTCGTGGACATGTCTGGCAACATCAACGTCGCTGAGGACATAAGGTGCACGTTATCCCAAAATCAGCAGACTTCGCTTTTTTTTAAGGGGGGAAAATCATCGAATGACTGCTCCCCCTGGGTGAGATGGGACGGAGTGTCAGACTCTTACTGACTAAAAACCACCCCGTTCCTTCTCCTGCACGTCGAGCCAGAGCCCCGGTAACCCGTTAGGTTCTGGCAGACTTCGCTTGACATATCGCCGATATATGTATGTCGTGGAAGTTCCACGGTGGAACATTTGTTCCCTACCGTATCCTTGACTTTAACTAGGTTGCCATAAGTTTTCACAGCAAGAACCAATTGTTTCGAGCTGATCTTTAAACTTCGTCTAGCTGGTTACGTGTTAATGATTTAAGAAACACTTACTTTGAGCCTTGACTGGTTCCTTTTGCAAGAGTTCCTTGTATGTAGGCACGTGCTTTTCAGACTCCTTCGGCGTGCTTTGACTTCCACTCAGTCCTGCTACTGACGCCGCTGCACTGGCGGGCTGCAAAAAGTAAGTAATTTACTTCATTAAGGAACTCCAATAAACTTCATCTTTAAACAAATGATCGTTGGAAATCCAATGTTGTTATGTATAGTATAGCTGGTATATAATTTCGCAGTTCCTAGTCAATTCTTTTCCCGTTTGCAGGGTCGATTCTGAGTACCTATTCGGATTCCTCGTTTTTGAACTTGTACGAAGATAACACTTGATTTTAATTAGGTTTTTATTTTTGGGCTTAAGCCAGTAAACGAGCAGATGGATCACCTGATGGTAAGCAATCGGCGTCACCCATGGACACCTGGACTGGAACACCAGAGGCGTTACAAGTGCATTAGCGGCTTTTTGGGGATTAGGAGTTTGAGGATCGTTGGGGATTCAGGGATTGGGGAGATTGGGGAAGGGGAGGGTATTTGGGCCTCCGGTAACCTCACTCACACGACGAAACACAACGCAAGCGTTGCTTCACGTCGGTTTTCTGTGAGGCCGGAATATCACTCCGGTAATATTGCTCACGTATCGTAATATTGCTCACGGCGCGGCGTTTTGTTTCCAACAACCACTTAAACACTAGATATATGAAATAAGTAAATTAATATCTTACAGTAGAAGGCACCATGATGATAGTAGTGTCCTTCTGTTTCTCCTTGATATCCTCAGCCTTGGCTCTGGCCTTCTCGTAGCGGGTGGTCAGCACTGTCACCAGTTCTTGCACGTCTCTGGCTTCTGCTGTCCATTCTGGCATGCTGGGCTCTGGGATAATCTGGAATCATAAAGGGTATATTACTACGGATATTCTTTATATGTTTTCTTCGTTGGTGCATTAACTTGGGATAACTTTGTGCTAAATTATATTGTTAGATACTAATTTTCCTTCATTTTAATTACATTGTTAACCTTAGTTATCTTGCAAACTTATTCTGTACCATGTTTAGTTGGTAAGCAATCGGCGCTGCCCATTGACACCCGGAACAACAGAGGTGTTACAAGTGCGTTACCGACCTTTGGGGATGAGGAATTTGAGGATGTTTGAGGATTGGGGAGACTCGGCCTCTGGTAACATGACGAAAAACAACGCAAGTGTTGTTTCTCGTCGGTTTTCTGTGAGGCCGTGGTATCACTTGCACTTCGGTTGATTCGTACCGAAGCATGGCTCTCCCACACTTGAAATATATTATCTCTTATGTATTGTCATATTGACTATCGTCCTTACATCCAGTAGCTTGCACAGCTCGTACAACAGCCTCTTTATCTCCAGCAGCAGCGTTTCCAGCTCGTCCATTTGCTTTTCCAGCTCCTCGTAAATTGCATTTTCTTCTGCTATCTCTTCTTTTAATGCTGTTATTTGGTCTTGGGCTCTGAAAAATGTTAAATAGTAATCTGAGTGATTAGATTAATGTGTCACGAAATAGATGATAATATATAAGGATTGAAAAAAAGCGGTACCTTAGAATAGGTATCTTTATCAACCTAAAATCTATAAAATACACAATTCAAATGTAATATGGAAAGAACCAAAATTTAAAAGCGAAAAGTACTTTAAAAACACAACGTTACGAAGTTTTTATAACATGCAGCGCCATCTATCGAAAAGTAGCATAACTACTACATAGATACCAACTAGTAATTCATTGACTAATAAAACAGCTAATAAATGAGTCGAAAAGTGCACCGAATAGGTACCTTTAACAACCTAAAATCTATAAAATATACAATTTAATGTAAAATGGTAGGAACCAAAATTTAAAAGCACAATGTTACCAAGTTTTATAACACGCAGCGCCATCTATCGCTAAGTAGCGTAACTACTACATAGGTACCAACTAGTAATTCGTTGACTTATAAAACAGCTAATAAATGAGTCGAAAAGTGCACCAAATAGGTGCCTATATAAAATGTATAAAATAAACAATTCAAATGTAAAATGGTAGGAACCAAAATTTAAAAGCGAAAAATACTTAAAAAACACAACGTTACCAAGTTTATTAACATACAGCGCCATCTATCGCTAAGTAGCGTAACTACTACATACATACCAACTAGTAATTCGTTGACTTATAAAACAGCTAATAAATGAGTCGAAAAGTGCACCAAATAGGTGCCTTTAACAACCTAAAATCTATAAAATATACAATTCAAATGTAAAATGGTAGGAACCAAAATTTAAAAGCGAAAAATACTTGAAAAACACAACATTATTAAGTTTTAAAACATGTAGCGCCATCTATCGCTAAGTAGTGTAACTACTAATAAATGAGTCGAAAAGTGCATCGAACAAGTGTAGGTAACGCTAAAGATTAAAGCGTGAGATTTCCAATTAGTGGGTAATTCGTTGACTTGATTTAAATGACATACAGCGCCATGTATACCAATACGCACACCGCCATCTAAACCAATATTTTGGTTTTCCCTCGGGAATATCTAATTTTCCGGGATAAAAAGTACCCTATTATTTAATCCAGACTTCTAACTTTACGTCAGCAAAATTTCAAAGCAATCGGTTGGCCGGCTCAAGAAAACCAACCAATCAGAACGCTTAATATAATGCGATAGTTATTCGTGCTTGGCACTCTGGCTATAGAATACATAACAGGCTGGTAAAATAATGAGCAATATAAATACTTACTCATCTTTATCCTTGACCGACGCAAACTTGAAGGCTTCGAGCTCCGCCATCATAGTGGCTTGTGTCTGTTCTAGTTCCAGTTTCTCTTCCTCCGTAGTTTGCTGGAGGTAGCTGAGGCGCTGTGAAGTGTCTCGCTGGGCACGGAACCTATCGAATACTTCTTCAGCGTCTGTCACTCCTGAAAATAAGCCCTTGTGTAGTTTATGCTTAAAAATATCATTAGATTTTTGATGAGTATGAAAGACTATGGAATAGGATCTATAATAGACTTACCAGTTAGCTTCATCAGCCTCTGGAAGATGTTCTCCATCTGCTGCGATGCGGATATTTCTTCTGGAACCGTCTCGCCTTCCGTAGATCTCGTCGACTCTTGTCGTACCACTGGTCGGGCTAACGACAAAGTAAGAAAAGTTAATAAAGACGGCTTTTGCGACATTGTGATTGTGAAAAACTTAGGCTCAACCTTGACTTTGGTGACCAATTTTCATATGATGATGATTGTATTGATTTTTGGACAAAAATATTAAAATCATTAATTTGCATTGATCTGTAGATTGTGGAGATGCATTAAAGTAAAAATACTCTTTTTTATGATAATAATTATATTCTTAATCACCTTGTGGGGGAAACACTCTCTTCTCAAGCTTCTCCAACTCTCGCTTTCTCTCAGCGAATCTTTGCGCGAAGTAAGCTCGTTCTGCAGCTCTCGAATGTTCCGCATCGTGCGCCCGCGCTGCCTCAGCTGCTGTAGCTGCTGTTGCGCGTATACGCATCTCTCCTGCTTCCTCGCGAATGCGCTACAAAGAGAACAGTAAATGATTATAAAAGAAAATTTAAACAAGTCTACGTTTGATCTAAAGGTTTACAATATTTAGTTCGTTCTAATAACCAAAAATAATTCTTACCTCTAATTTCATAATTTCTTCTTTCTGTTTCTTCAACAGATCTTCAATGTGTGTAAGCGAGCTTTCAAATTTGACTGAATCATCTAACAGGGCTTGTCTGTAAAAATATTGTGGAGTATCTAAACTATCCTCATTTAAGTAGAATTTTATTGGAATCATGTGAAAGCTTATATTTCCAAAATCTCTAATTAACAGTTCAACAAGTTATTATGTACTAAATAAAATTAATAATACTATGATATCATACTTTTGTACATTTAGAGTTATTAAGATTCTCACGTCTCTTACCTTATAGAGATGTATTTCTTCTTGACGAGTTCTGCTTCCGTCCACTGGATCAGAACTTTGTGGATCTCATTTTCTAAGTGCGAAACGTGCTGTGTGTAAATTCAATTATTTTGTTAGAATATAATGTATAATCGTAGGTACCCAATCTGTCCTAGATCATTCCCTATTTCTTTTACGACATTTTTCGAAACATATTTTCATGTTTGTCTTTCTCTTTATTTTCATTCGTCGTCATCATCATCATTATCATTATCATCATCATCATCATCATCATCATCATCATCATCATCATCATCATCATAATTGGGATGAAAAAATCTAATTAGTCCGTAAGTTAGGTGATGAAAAAATATTAGACACGTATATTTTTTTATTTTGATGTATAATAAAGTTATACTTAGATAAAACGAATCATAGTTTAGAAGTGGGGGCTAAAACGTCATTTCTAGATATACATAGAGGTGACGTCACGCGACATGTCAAATCAATATATCATCGAAAGTATTCGTTTCTGTAAGAAAATAAAAAATACGTGTCTAATGATTTCATTTAAAATAATCTACCAGACGGACATTACAATAAAAAATAGGCATCTACCCTGTTATCAGCCATAAAACATCCACTGCTAAACGTACGCCTTCCCCAAAGACTTCCAGAACCTCTCTCCGGTTATTGGCTCCCTTTACTTCATATACATTTAAATTTGCATTATTTCTCACACCTATCTATTATGTTGTGCTAAATAAATTACGTGTCACGAAAAGGAATAAACAATAAAATAATTCCAACTTTTTCTTGTATTCCTTTGAATTTCTACGAATGATATAAATAGTTTCATTGACTGTTTATTTATCTGTTACTAGTTGTTTGTACCTAACTTTACCTAGCTTCACTGATGGACTGACTGACAGGTTATTATTTATTTTGTATTTGTTAACGTTTCAAAAGTACCAAATTATGGTTTAATTGAAATAAATGCTTTGGCTTTTTGTCTATACTTACTTTTCTTGCTCTGCTATTGTTTTTTGACTTGACAAGTTGTCCCTTATTGTTCTCGATCAGAAGATGTTCATACTCCTTCTCCATTTCTGCTAGTTTCTTCTTCTTATTCCTCTTCTCATATTTTAATAAGTCCAGCATCTTTCTCTGTTCTGTCACTTTAAGATCTAGATTGTGTATAATCTGTTAAAGACGAAACATTACCAAATTAGTTTACTGATTGTATACTACTTTCTATGTTATAATAATATTCTTTATTTTCATTAAAATGGCAGTTTACAAAACAAATCTTAATGAAACGGAACATATTATCTCGCGTATTTAAACTATCTCTACAAAGTAGAATTTTGTATCACAAGCGCGAGGAGTTCTAACACAGAAATATTAACATAACATAACATCACGCCTTTTATCCTCGAAGGGGTAGCCAGACGAGCACACAGAAGTAACACCCATTTTTTACTATTTATGTTATGAGTTCCATGTAATAGGGGGTGAGCCTATTGTCATATACCGGGCACATTTCCAGCCTCCGTGCTACTACTGAGATTTTTTTAAAACCCAGTTATACTTTGCCCGACCCGGGAATCGAACACGAGACCCCCCTCGCCCGGCAGTCGCAGTTTTTATTTTGCAAGTAGATAATGAAATAAGGAGCAACAAAAGCTACGTTTATTTTAGAAAAACGCAGACGAAGTAGCGGGTTCACCTAGTTTCATGTACAATTAAAAATATTTAAAACTTATATTATTATGTGTTGGTATTCATATGTTTACGATTCTGATTAGATATTGTTGTAATAATACCAATATTATTTCTAAACCCTTTTTTCTCCCTCTGTACGTAAAGTCATAGGTATATTTCAAATAAAATTCGCAGTATTAATACAAACCTTATCAGCACTCTTATCTCCCATAGGACAGACTTCATTCAAGTACTTCTTGATCTGCACCTCATCTTCTCCAATCACAGCTCTAGCCTGGGCCAGCTCTGTGAGTCGCAACTTGATTTCTTTCTTCAAAGTATCTATTAGATCATTGTTCTGCTGTTTCTCTGCTTCATTTTCCTCAAAATTTGACTTTCTTTGTCCCTCTGTATAATAAAGAACCAAATCATTATCTTTTAGCTTTTCTATTTACTTAATAGGGAGCGAATTTGATTCTTTGGATATACATTAAGAATCAGAATTACCATTATTCAGAATTTTTATTTATAAGAAGAATTTAATTTATTATCATTAATCAGAATTAGAATAAATAGCTGTTGGATGAGAAGAGCTGAAGACCGAGCTCAGTGGCGTGCCATTGGAGAGGCTTATGTCCAGCAGTGGACGAATACAGGCTGATGATGATGAATCAGAATTTTTATTTATAAGAAGAATTTAATTTATTATTATTAATCAGAATTATCTAATTCATGAAAAATAACACGACGTAAGTTAGGATATGAGAGGGTCCATCACTGGCACATAAAAAAAATACACAAATATGTGTTTCTTTACGTACATACGTACTGTTTATTAAGAATTAATTAATGTATGCTATCGAATGCACAATATACTTTGTTCAATGTAATGTTCCACGCACCTGACAACTGTATTTTCTTTTTAATCTCAAATATTTTTGTGTTGATAGTAGTTAGTCGGTCTTCTGTTTCTATTTCAAAGGGATGTTTTTGATAACACATCGCCATTGTTAATAATGTACTCGATGTGATTTAATAATAAATATATTCGAGCTCCAACCCTCGCTAGCAACTTTGTAACTACGACAGAATTCTTATTATTGATCAAACTGTTAGTTGGTCGTATAAAAATGTTCATGTTTGGTGTTATTTGTTTACTAATTATCTTTTTAAGTTTGTTTCATTAAATAATAGTTAGTGTAAACTTAGGTTTAATTTACTATGAAAATTAACTACCCCTAACTTCATTTGTCAATAGCGCCATCTCTGTTGTGGCGAATGAACGACAAAGTTCAAAAGCTCATGATTGGTTGTGCGCACACGGCGCTGCTGAATCGCTTGATTTCTCCATTGAATCAACATTCCTTCGCGTACGTTTGTATGTGTGCGTAATTCGGTTCTCACGGTGTTTTAGCCAAATATTCTACAATTCATGACTTAAATCAGTTGTGTACTGTTTTCAAATGAACAGAACTAGTGAATCAACGCGGTGATAAAGCTTAGATATTAAAATACGTGCAGTAACAAGGGGTGCGCACGCACACAGGCGCGCTGGCGGCCATTTTGATTTACCGTACGCTGTGTATTTACGGACAAAGCCGTCAGATGCGAGCGGGACGCGGCTGCGCATGATCCTACCGGGCTTTACGTTAATTTCGAACGTGTTTTACCGCTAAAATGTCCAATAAACAAATGGTTTCGACGTAACAACAGTTTAAAAACAAAATGAAGTGTCAGTTCTTACATTTAGTTCCGTGAGTGTTGATAATTTAGTGTTCAAACGACATAGAAGGAGTAAAACAAATGTGTGTGATCCATGTGTGAATGTTGTGTTACAAAATGTGGTCGAGGAACTTTATACCGGATTATGGGATTCAATTGCTGTCAATCTTCATAGTGGTGTCGACACTGGCCACCAGGATCCATGGTGTCGAAGGTGAGTGCTAGTTATACAAGTAGTTGAGCTTATGAAAGCGCGGCCTGCAACTTTACGCGGCCGAATTGCGTTGGCGCGCTGGCTTAGGGAGCTTTCGGCGTACCGGTGTCTTATTACGTTTGGTCGGTTTACCATTTGGTTCTCACAGTAGGGACTTGTGAAACGAGTCGTTTTAAAAACTGGAGTGAATTCAACGCATCGCATTTTTTAATGTTTTTTAATTGTGCCGCGTTTGTTGACGTTATGCGCTCGTAACCCGACCCCGTATTATGGCATCGGCTTGCTTTCAGCTTCGTACGTTGATATTTGTAGGATTGCTTGTTGAAACTTATTATTTAGGTACCCACACTTTAAACCTTTCATTTAAAAAATCCATATATAAATTTTAATCTACCAGCATTTTACTACGGTAATATTATTGTTTACTTACCAAGTATACTCTTCTTATTTATTCCCTATTTCACTCTTTCGCTTCTAATGAGGGTACAAGTAAAATAATATTCCTTAATATTCATTCATTTAATTTCTCTTTCTTATCAGTAGAAAACAATAGCTTATTTTCTTAGAATTCTATTTGAGTAATTCCTAAAACCATCTGCATAGAAATCTTTTAAGCCGATCGCCGCTGAATATTTTATAATAATCTTCTTTTCAACTTGAAACTATAAGACTTAAGCTCTTCGGTGAAGTTAACAACAGTTTAAATCTTTATTTTAATGATTTAAATGCAAATCTGTGTCACTATCCCGGTATATAATCTCCAATGGGATGGACAGAAGTGTCCATAATAAGCACAAACTTTTTGCTCCTCACCTATGTTATCTGTATTTTAGTGTTTAATATTTTTCCCATACATTGGCCAGAATGTTAGATTCCGTGCTATTTATTATTAGTAATTTTTAAATTATGAATTACAATAAATATAATAAGTTCATATCGTGTAATAGGTTTGTTGACATCAATTCAATTTAATCATCGTACGGATGTAATTACGATATGAATATTTATTTAATTTTATTTGCTTTATAGAACTGTATGGGAACGTATTGTATTTACAATACATTCAATACAATTCATATCTACTTAGTCCTATATTGATTCATAGTTTATTGGTCATTCAACTACGAATTTTACTCATTATTTAAACATGGAACTTTATGCAAAAGTTTAGGCGAACGCGCATCTATGATTGTGTACCCGATTCGGATAAAATAGTTACAATTAAACTAGGTAGCAGCTTTAACGCTATGTTAACATGTAGGTGATGTATCGCAAATACAAACACCATTAAATATAAACCAAAGACTGGCGACCATTATGACTTTATTTTGACTTACGACTCTGACGTAACTGGGTAAAAATGTCATATTAATCTCAGAATTACAGTGTAAGGTTGCTTATGGGCAGACGTGCTCCATCGTAGGCCGCATTATTGCTTACCACCAGGCGAGATAGTGGTCAAACGTCGGCCCATCAAATAGGTATAACTGTGACCAAGTTTAGCCCAAGAAAAACATGATATAATTATAAATAACTGAGCTCTGCTGGCAAAAATAATGAGTTCAAATGCGCTAAAAATAGGCTCTTCTTAAACTAAGAGCATCGGAATATCCTAGATAAGGAACAACAGCTTAATTCTAAACATTGGGTACGACATGTTTGTGTCCAACAGTTGGGTGAATACCAATGTGGTCATCCAACATTTGGTATGCACAGCAACTGCACACGATTTCTATGGTCGGGACTCACTCGGAACATTTTGAATATTGATCAACTACTGCCAGTTTACGACTTAGAAAGGGACAATATGTGTACAAATACACCATTTTGAGGGAAAGTATCCATTTTGTTTTTGAAAATCGTCACTCACTTTGTATGCTTGGATGAGAAACGGACGCAGTTCCACTTATCTTTAGCTGTGATTCGATTTTATATTGCTGTTTTGGTGTCGTAATGTAATTTTAAATGTTTATTGTCTTGGGAACGCTTGTTTAGTTTATATTATCTTGTTTGCTTTCGATTATAGACGCAGAAAGATCCCGTATATAACCTATTCTAAGTTAATTTCGTCTTTTGGCTTATCCTTGCTTGATGTGCAATCATTATTTACTATCAATCTCACATTAACCATTCTATATTCTCTACACATCTTTCGATATTAAAAATATCGGATTTGGGAATGTTACTTAGTTTTGTATGCTTAATATCATTATCTATCTAAGATTTCTGACAGCTATCATTAAGTCTACGTTCCTGGGGACACATGTCCTCTTTCAGGGCTTAACTATGTACACACTCAGTACTGTAAGCCCGTCTGTTGCCCAAACAGAGCAAACAGTTAATGCTGTGGACACAACAGCTCAAATATTGTTTGTATCCATTAATAGTTTCCGTTTGTATTTTGCGCTTCCTGTTAGCCGTTAAGATATTTCGCTTATCTCAGTTCACAGCTCAAAGGTCAGTGTGAGAAAGATTTAGCTTACATTGTTGCTAATTGTAGATTAGTTAGATAAAACGAATCAAATTTTAGGAGTGGGAGCAAAAACGTCATTCCTACGTATAAAATGTACATAGAAGTGACGTCACGCGACATTTCAAATCAATATATAGTTGAAACTATTTGTTTCTGTAAGAAAATAAAAAATAGAAATTAGTCATCTATTCTACTATTATTCTTCTTGCCGCCCTTATTTAATTCAAGTTACTTATCGTGCGCGCCATATGTCTGTTCTTCTACTTCTGTCTATTAAACGTCCTTTTTCTTTATCACTTTTGCTTCTTCTATAGGAAAGTTAGTACTTTTATAGCTAGCTAATTTAGTTATACTAAATGAATGATTGGTAAATGTAGAACTTATTAGGTTTAGCAGTGCCATATTTATTAGTAACAGCATTTTGTCATATGCTTGTCACTTTCTGAAATTTAATTTACAAATTAAGACACTTCTGCAATTTTTAAACATAGTTAGATGCTTTATTATTATTTGCTTAAAGTTTACTTTTGACAAGTGATTCATTCTTTTTGTTTACGTCTTGCTACACTGAGCATTTGTTAGTCTACCTGGCTTTAATACCTATAAAACTCTTTTGCCATCAAAACTATTGCTATCTCGCTCTATTTTCAAGATGGCAACAATAACAGGTAGATGTCAAATTTATGAACGAGGTTGTTCATCTTTTGTGGTGGTTGGTTATAGAATTCATGGGTTTATGGATTTTTGAGGGTATGGGTGCGTTTTGTAATAATGTGATTTGTGTTTTGTGGGATAAGTGCTTGTGCCATAAAATTTTTGGAATTGTTATTATTAAATGATATAGTGTAGTTATAACATAACATGATAATGAAAGTAGTTATTGCCACTTGTTATTGACTGCCTCGCTGACCGAGTGGTCGCAAGTGCGACTGCTGGTCAAGGGGTCTCGGGTTTGATTCCCGGGTCGGACAATGTATTACAGGTTTTTTTTTAATCTCAGTGGTAGCACGGAGTCTGGAATTGTGCCCGGTATATAGCAATAGGTTCACCGTCTATCACATGGGAATCACAACATACACGGTGAAAAGTGGGTGTTACACTGTACAGTAACATTAATTGCTGATGATGTGATGTTATGTTATTGCCACTTTTCTATTATAATAAACTAAATCATTCTCAGAACTATCAGTCGACTAATTTAAATAAGAAAGATCGATCAAAGTCACGATTTTATTGGCTAAATGATACACTTATTAGGTACAAACAGCTAGCCATGCAAATGTCGTCACACTACAAACAGACAGTACACTCCAATTCTATCAACATGCGCAATTAATGGCCAATTGTGCGCCTGGACCAACCTCCTTCACCGAGGTCATCGCACTCAAATAAATCTCAACTAAACAACACCCTGTATGACCAATTTCTCATTTAATCTACATTATTTGCATCTGCTGTAGCACTAAGATGGAAATCAAACCTTACATTTGGTGTTATAAAGTTTACTTTTGCAAAATTATAACTCCTTCGGGTGTCGGCGACAAGAAATCGTTCCGCGAATCGCCTTTGCTTATTTGTAACGTACTGTGTCTGAGTAACATTGAATATTTGAACAGTTCCAAGTCAAAGAGGTTGGAATAGTTTAGTTTTTAAATTTAAAAAACTTCAGTCAGTACGTCAGTCCCTTATTTACCCTGGTTTTGATTCACGGGTTACGCAAATTTTACTACAGCAATTTCAATTTGGACATGTTCTGTTTAACGCTGTTTTGACTTTATGCAACTGCTTTTTATCTATTGACATGGTCCCATATTTTTGTTCAAGTCTTTTAGCTTACTTATAATTTTATTTTTGATGAAATACGACGGTATACGTACCGTCATTTTTCTAGTCCTCAATAAATTAAGCCCTTATCAAAATATTTAACTCCATCGTCAATCATATTGATCGAATACTATTTTCAGTCATTCGATACGTGTGTAGAAGTACAATTATCATAATGTTGCCAGACTTCACATAAATCAGCAATAATTGTTAATGGCACGGAGTTACGGACCAGTCTTACCAAATTAGGATCAAACCTTTTTACTAGCGTTGACATATCAGTGTTTATTTCGTTACAAGTTCTAAACTTGGTCACATGGAGTACCTACAAACAAAACTAGATACTACTAACTACGGTATTCTTTACTTAAAGTTATTATATTAGGATGAAACTAACTATTCTCAAATAAACAATAAACAGTGCGTTGATGACAGGGTAAATAATTCTTTTATTAACTATGTATAAAAAAAACAGACTTTGACTCGTTCTTTTTTTGAATTTAACCGATTTTTAATATACTAGAACCTTCTCCTAAGTGTAACCAATACTTTTTTTAAAACCGCATCAAAATCCGTTGAGTCAATCGCGAGAGATTCGTGCATAAACATACATATATATAGGACAACCACAAAACTTCCTCCTTCATCCTTTTTGTAGTCAAAAATACATTTTTAGCACCATTTCTTTTCTTTTTGGGGTCTTA